GGCTGTAACATAGCTTCTACAGTGGATACATCCAATTTTATCTTGTTCCTTTTGTCCATTGAACGTTGATTAGTGAGACACAGCTCAACAGTAGTGTGAGCTGGAGGACTGATTATATACAGTGTGGAAGCTCCTTACAACTTCTCCTGTTACTATTTTCCCTTCTTAATCTGAATTTCTCGTAACAATTACTTTTTCACTTGCTTTAATACTAGTTGAGGAAATCATGTAACTCTCATGCTTAACTTTAGTAATGTTGATTTACATCTGTCCATCATTTTCAATATTGAATGAACAATTGTATATCATTCAGAGACCTCAAAGAGGACTTTTACCACATTTAATAAATAACCACTCTGAAGGAAATTCATCACAAAAATTTTTTTCTTTTTTTTTTGCGGTACGCGGGCCTCTCCCTGTTGTGGCCTCTCCCGCTGTGGAGCACAGACTCCAGACGCGCAGGCCCAGCGGCCATGGCTCACGGGCCCAGCGGCTCCGCGGCATGTGGGATCTTTCCGGACCAGGGCACGAACCCGTGTCCTCTGCATCGGCAGGCGGACTCTCAACCACTGTGCCACCAGGGAAGCCCCATCACAAAATTTATATTTGCATTTTGCATTTTTATATTCAGTATATACAAAAATAGATAATAGCAATTTCAGCAAGAATAGAAAACATTGCCTTTGAAATCTCACGTGTGTGTCAATTCGTCTGTTACAAGTCCAAACTCATAACTGCTAACAGGTTGAACCGTTGAAAGGTTTTCAAACTTGTGAACTAACAGTGAATTGAACTTGGTATCTGATACAAAAAAAAAAAGGAGGGGGAACATTCTGTTTGCCTGCCTGCTCTAATTGTCAGGCAGTCACCTCAAAAAAAGCCAGAGCGGTTCTCATAGGAGCTTTTGGGAAGTCTGACATTCAGGAATTGGCAGACTTTCAGAAATGGGCATGTTTAATGATTGATGGACTTCCAGGTGTGTTACTTTGCTCACTACTGTTGACTAGGACTTTCAGAAGCAAGGTTGCTATAGTGAGGCACTTACTGATTGGTTGTTACCTAGGGGCTGGGGCTGTCACTGATTGGCTGTCTTTCAGGACTGGGGCCTGAACACTGGTAGGATGAATTCTAGAAGGTTGGGACTATCAATTATTTGCGAATTTTCAGAAGCTTCAGTTTACTGGGGTGAGGCTGTTGATGACTGGCTGGCTTTCACAGGTTATCTGAAGTTATCTCTAAAAAACCATGTTTTCTTGTTCAAGATTTTGGAATTGGGCTAAAGAACAGTCTTTGCCTTCCTGTTATGAAAAATAAACACTTTAATTATTAGTCCCCTCTTTTGTTCTTCCTTAGCCAGACCCTAAGGAGAGACCAGAAGGCATTGTCCAGAAGGTTATTTCTGGGGCTATGTTTATGAGCTAATGTTGCCACTAAGTGATTTAACTGCCAATTACAGTGAGAGAAAAATAGCTCTAACTGCTGGGTTTTTGTAATATATTGTAAAAAGCTAAATACAGGATATTTAGGGCATTCTGACAGTATCAATACAGGATACAGGATGTGTGCTCTATATGCAGAACAGCTGGCAGTCCTATTCCTGATGTCTGTCATGCACCTACTCTTGGACCTGAATCCTTGTTAGTGCTCATTGAACAGTTGTAGATCAGTAAATACACAACAGCACAACTTCTTTATTCATTTTTACCTCTCTGGCAACTCTTTTTAAATATTGTCTTTACCTCTCCCTCCAAGCTGTTAATGCATCATGTTTTCAAGTATTTAAAAAAATAATCACATTTTGGAACCAAACTCTGAGTGTGGCTAAGGTTTCAGCAAGCCTTGAAGTCTCAGCTTCATTCTCTGACTTCTCAGACTCAGTGACTCTTTTTCAGACTTCATTGATTTCTTACCTTTTTTTCCTCCACTCTCACAGATAAATTTCTCTAGAACCATTTCTGCCACTTTCCTTGAAAACCTATAAAATTATTATTAATAACATTTAGTAATATCCATTTAACAACTGTTTTCCCAGAGATAATCTCAACTCCCTGTGTATACTGTTGCTGCGATTACAGTTGAAATGACAAACCATTTTCCAGCAAGGAAATGAGATCACAGAATCCCAAACCTTTATGTCAGGAATAAGATGGCCCCTTTGCACACGTGGTCAAATTCTCAGGAGAGACATATTCTGTCCTGGCAGAAGATGGCATGTGATAAGTCCCTGTTCTTTTAGAGAGGTTTCACATTTCTTAAAAGAAATGGAGTAACCTCAGAGTTAATTAATTAATTTATTTAGGCCCTGCTGTGCAGCATGCAAGATCTTAGTTCCCCGACCAGCGATCGAACCCATGCCCCCTGCATTGGGAGCACGGAATCTTAACGACTGGACTGCCAGGGAAGTCCCAAAATGGTGTATATCTCAGACATGAAGTAATATTATCTTAAATAGCAATGTTGTTGAAACACCATCACTGACTATTCAGGCAGGAAGGATGTTTTCTGTGGGAATCAGGTGCACATCGTCACCCTTTCTGGTGCCTCCAGACATCCCTTCTCCAAGTTCACCATCCTAAGCCCTGTCTGGGGGCTTCTTATATTGCGCTTGAGCGAAGCTACTGAAACTCATGAAAAGCGGGAGTGTACGTGTTTTTGACAAGCAGCAAGATAGCCGACAGCTATGAGAGGACGACAAGTAACATTATGGTATGGTGGATCCCTTTCTATGTGCAGTCTTTGGAAATTTGCTGCGATTCATGCAGTCTGAAATAATATGTCTCTAAACATTTCTGTGACTTGCCGTAGACTACACTCCAAGGAAATCTGGGTATAACGCCTTAAAGAGGCAGAGAAGCCCTGCCGGGTTTACAGCCTAAGAACCGCATTTCCCAGAGCCCTTCACGCCCTCGCTCGGCCTTTAGCCACAATCTGGAACTACCAACATTGAGAAAGCACAGGTAACACCCGTAGTGGAAACTACTCTACCCACAAGGCTGTGCAGCGGCGACCGCGCACCGGAGAGACTTCTGGGTAATGTAGTTTCCGCTGCTAACACCACCTACTATCTCTCACAGAATGAGTTACTTCCTACCTGGCCTATTAAAAGCCAAGAGGCACCCTCAGGGACACTGGGAAAAGGAGTTCCCTGCTCCAACCATGGGACAGGCCTTGCTTACTCTTAAATCGCACCCAGATTTGGAGAGCAGTGTTGGAAAAGCGCACAAAGATTAGGGACCTGTAATTTCAGACTCTATGAACTATAGCAAGTTCCCAAATCTACACACCGAAACAGACACACTATATCATGACACTCTATGTCCACACATAGTTGTCAGCTGTCTTGTTGACTGTCAAATAGACTGAAATTTTAGAGGCTGTTTCATGATATTGAATATGCAAGAAAAGACCCCAGACAGGGCACGAGGAAGAATTGGAGACAGGTAACTTTCCTGCCTTGATAATCAGTGATCGCGTTCCAACCTAGCAAACAACACTTTTATTGAAATGATATTTATTACTCTCTAAGATTTCTTTCAAAATCTGAAGCCTAGCTCTAAAGGACAGCGAATCATCACATGCCATCTCCTGCCAAGATACATCACTGAACATTTAAAGATGGTAGATAAATTTTATGTGTATTTTACCACAACAAAATAATTAATGATTAAAAAATGCGCTAAGAACTTTTATGACACAAAGACATAGCTGAAAGACACTAGAAGAAAAAAGAAGTCAAATAAGAAAAATCTAGAAAGATGTGTCAGTGGAAGCTTGTTTACGAGGCACATGGTTCAAAATTTTTAAAGATATTAATTTCCTATGAAATTGAATTTAAATTTACTTAAACTTCACTTTCCCACTTTAAACAACTTTTTCTCAAAGTGCCTGTCAAAACACACAGCTTTACTACATAACAGAGACTTGTTTATTCTTATATGATGCCATGCTTTTGTGCACACAAAAGGGATAACACTAAATATATATTTATACACTTAGTGAAAGCAGCCATACAAGAGTAACTATAGGATTCCATTTATATAAAATTCTAGAAAACAAAAACTATATTGGGAATTCCCTGGAGGTCCAGGGATTAGGACTCCACACTTTCCCTGCTGAGGGCCCAGGTTCAATCCCTGGTCAGGGAACAAGATCCTGCAAGATGTGTGGCACAGGCAAAAAGAAAAAAGAAAAAAGAAAAATATAATGTCTCCTTAGAGATGGCAGGTTGGCTAGGGCTGACAGAGAGAATACAAAGGGGCCAATGGAAACTCTACGACAGACATGTTCATTATCATGACTTTGGTGATGGTCCCATTATGCACACATGTGAAAATACATCGTACATTTTTAATAAATGCCGTTTATTGTATGTCAGTACCACAATAAAGGGGTTAATAAAATCTAAATCTCTTCCTCTACAAAAATCGTATCTGGCAAGGTAGTATTGACTCCATCAGCACCCTTCCCCATGTCTTGGATGGGTCAATTCTGATTCCTTCTCAAAACAGAAGGAAGTGCTGACAAATGCTTCAACATGGGGAAGTTATGCTCAGCTAAATAAGCCAGTTACAAAGAGGTGAAAAATGTATGATTACACTTATATAAAGTATCCAGAGTAATCAAATTCATAGAGACAGGTCCAATAGAGAGGGCATAGGAAGAGATGTTGTTTAATGGGTATACAGTTTCATTTTTGCAAGATGAAAAGAATTCTGGAGATTAGTTGTACAAATACTTGAATTTTTAAACACACTAAACTGTACAATTTAAAAGGTAGAGGGTAGGGCTTCCCTGGTGGCACAGTGGTTGAGAGTCCGCCTGCTGATGCAGGGGACACGGGTTCGTGCCCTGGTCTGGGAAGATCCCACATGCTGCAGAGCGGCTCGGCCCGTGAGCCATGGCCGCTGAGCCTGCACGTCCGGAGCCTGTGCTCCACAACGGGAGAGGCCACAACAGTGAGAGGCCCGTGTACCGCAAAAAATAAAACAAAAACTAAAACGTAGAGAGTAAACTTTGTTACATTTATTTTGCCACAATCAAAAATGTAAAAAAAAAAAATACTGTATTAGGATACTATTAAGGATAGATTACAGCAGATATTTTGCTGAAGTCTTTCCCCATTTGCAACACTTTCCCTGTTGTGAAATTTTTGGTGCTGAATGAGGTAGAAATTTTGGCTGAACATATGCCCATATTCACTGTACTTACAAGGTCTTTCTGCATTGTGAAATCTGTGATGTGCAATGGGCCTGACGTTTCACCTAAAGACTTATCCACATTCACTGCACTCAGAAGGCCTTCCTCCAATGTGAACTTTTGATGTCTAATGAGTGGGAAGCTGTACCAATTTCCCATATTTTCTGTACTCATAAGGCCCATTCCAACATCAACTCATAAGGTGCTCCTCCAGTGTAAGGAGTTTGGAGTAGTACCTAAAGAATTTACCATATTCTCTGAACTCATAAATTTTTGACCACTGTGAATTCTCTGCTGAATGAGGTTGGAGTTGTATCTAAAGAGTTCGCCACATTAAGGGCACTCATATCGTTTTCACTGTGGATTTTCTGGTGATGTATGAGGTAGGACTTCCTAATGAAGGCCTTCTGACATTTTCTGCACTCATAAGGCCTTTCTCCAGTATGGGTTTTCTGATGCTGAAGAAGTACATTCTTATGGCTAAAGGCTTTCCCACATTCGCTGCACTCATAAGGCCTCTCTCCACTGTGAACTCTCTTATGTCTAATGAGTCTACAGTGGTACCTGAAGCCTTTCCCACATTCACTGCACTCGTAAGACCGTTCTCCAGTGTGATTTTGCCAATGTTTAATAAGCTTGGACTTGTAGTTAAAGAATTCCCCACATGCACTGCACTCATAAGGCCTTTCTACAGTATGAATTCTTTGATGTCTAGTGAGTGTGGAGGTGTACCTAAAGAATTTCCCACATTCACTGCACCCATAAGGCCTTTCTCCACTGTAGACTCTCTGATGTTTAATGAATGCAGAGTTGTACCTAAAGAATTTTCCACATCCACTGCACTTATAAATAAAGCCTTTCTCCAGTGTGAACTCTCTGATGTTTAATGAGTGTGGAGTTATACTGAAAGAATTTCCCACATTCACTGCACTTATAAGGCCTTCCTACAATGTGACCTCTCTGATGTCTAATGAATGTGGAGCTGTACATGAAAGATTTCCCACATTCACTGCACTCATATGGCCTTTCTCTGGTGTGAATTCTCTCATGTCTTACCAGTCTGTAGTTATATCTAAAGAATTTTCCACATTCTCTGCACTCATAAGGGCTTTCTCCATTGTGAATTCTCTGATGTTTTATGAAGTTAGCGTTGTACTTGAAGAATTCCCCGCATTTGCTGCACTCATAAAGCCTTACTCCAGTGTGGATTTTCTGGTGCTCAACAAGCATCTTTTCTCGGCTGAAGGCTCTCCCACACTGAGTACACCTGTAATCACTCTGTCCACTACCAAAGGCCTCCCTGCACTCAGTGTCCCTGTGTGGCTTCCCCACACTGTGAGGGGCCGGCTGCTACAGAAGGCCTGCACTGCCTGAGAAGTCCTTTCTGTCTCTGTTGCATGTCAAGGTCCTCTCTGCCATGTGAACGCTGCTGTTGGTCAGAAATGAAGGCTGCCCCTCACCCCTTCTGGAAAGGTTGTCTCTAATCTGCTCCTTCTGGTGTGGAAAAGGTTTGCCCCACCAAAGTATAGTCTGGGATCAGAGAACATTCTGTCATGCTCAAGCAGCTGCAAAAAGTCTTTCAAGAGTGGGCCATATATCTCACAGGGCTGGGCCTTCCTGGAGGATGGATCTGGCTTTGGAGTCCTGACCGGTGACACTCCTACAGAAACATCTTGCTCAGAAGGTGTCTCCTCATCCTGGACTCCATGCCAACAACCTGTAAGCAGAGAAATGCTGGTGAAGTTCATGATGATTTTGGTAGGAGGGGCAGCCCCATCAGAAATAACACACTGAAGGCTAGAGCCAGAGAGAGGAAGGTCTGCTGTGCAGAGATGGACCTGCGTAGCTCCCATGAGAGAGCCCTGACAATAGGTAAGGACTGAAGGAAAAGTTACTGTCTCAGTCTTATTTTGCTATGACAAAATACCACAGACTGGCTGGCTTATAAAGAACAGAAATTTATTTCTCACACTTCTGGAGACTGGAACCCATAGATCAGTCTGCACTCTCCTGCGTCACAGACTTCTCATAGTGTCCTCACGTGGTGGAAGGAGCTAGGAAGCTCTGTGGGGTCCCTTTTATAAGGGCACAAATCTCATTCATGAGGGCTCTTCCCGCATGACCTAATCACCTCAAAGGCCCCATCTCCTAATAGTGTCACCTTAGGCATGACGTTTTCAACATACGGAACATGGTGGGGACACAAACATTCAGACCAGAGCAGGGAGGAGAGACAGGCCTCCAAGTCAACATGGCCATGGCTACTGGTGACAGGTGAGCACTGTGTCAAAGGTTGTACCCAGACCTAGAAATACTTGATACAAAAGAAATGCTAAAGTTCAAGGACTATTTAAGGATACATGCAGACCTCACAACATCTTACATATAGGTCAAATGTTGAACACTGCAAAGGGAGCAATGAAACAGAACATGTGACAAGTCACATGTGAGAGTCACAAAAGTGTGGCTGGAGTGTGACAGAAGAAATAAAAATGAAAAGTAAGAAATGAGGTGTGGCACTGGTCCAAACATCAATCAATGGTGAACACAGGACAGGTTCCCAGCTCTGACATGTGACCTTTCCCAGGACCTCACACGAAGCCCAAGTACTTCTGAGTGTCTCCTGCCATTGATGTAGTAATGGCCACACTAGCAGATACCCCGAGTCCTCCCCATTGTTCCAGGTGAGCATTGATATAACACCTGAAAGAGGCTAGTCCTACATGAAAGACAGAAAAAGAAGGGGCCAGCACACGTAGATAGAGATCCAACGCAGGGCTTCCAGCATTCTAAAATTATAAGAACTTCACAGGGGAGACTAGTGACAATCAGTGGTTCCCCAAGTTAGTAACTAGGTTGGTGCTAAAATTCCTGGCACAGGAGGCCCTAAGAAATGTCAGCAAGAGGAATGGGTTAAGCCTGGCACAACAAGAGTCCAAGCATCTAGACTGAGGACCCAACCAAGAACAGGCCAAGTCTGAAGGGGTCTCAGACAAAATCTAGATTTCTGACTCCTGAGCCCTATCTTGGAAGGACTCGGAGTAGAAGGGATGGGGCTCCCTGCGAAGAAAAATGACACTGTACACAGAGTCCAGCCCCGGCACCAACAACACATATGCCAGGAAACCAGGAAAGGAAGCAGTACCCGTGGTCTCAGTGTGGGGAGTACAGAGCTGCCCCCTGGGAAAAGGGAAAGAACAGAGCACAGCTCAGGGCACTGGCTGAGCTTGTGGACCTTACCTAGGGAGGTCACAAGTGCAAAGTTCTCCGTCATCACAGCATGGTACAAGTGTCTCTGAGCTTCATCAAGGAGGCCCCACTCCTCCTGGGAGAAATACACAGCCACGTCCTCAAAGACCACACGGTCCTGCCAAAATTGGAAGAGTTTGGTTCATGGACAGCTTCTTGTTTTAACTATATTTTTGTGGATTCTGTGTCTATTTGCCATCCATTAATTACAGGGCTAAACTAATGGCCAAATTTGTTTATATCTCCCTTGCAATCCAGAGCCCATACTCTCAACCAACTCCTTAACTAACTCTCACGAACCAGGTCAGTATTTCCCCTGCCCTAAAGCAGCCCAGGGCCAGGTAACAGACAGCTAGGGACAGTTCCCATACCCCAGGTACACAGAATTATACAAACTAGTCACCCATAAACTTTTCATCCAATCCTCCCTGCATTTCCCTCAAAAGTCTAATAAAGGCTCTGACCTTTGATGTCCCTTAGCTTGTGCTCACGCCTCCTGACCGAATCTGGTGCTTCTAGAGGTAGCCCTGTTACATAGTGTACCTCCTCCTCTTGGGAAATATAAGTAATAAAACTGTCTTTTAATGTCATTGGCCTCTCTGTATCACGACTCACTCGTCTCCACTAGTTAAAATCCTGCGGGTGCAATCACTGATGCACTTCCCTTTCCAGGACCTTCAGCTCTCCCCCTACACATCCATCCCTGCTCATCCTCCTCCCACACGTCCCAGCAATGGAAGATATACCAGGTCCCAGTGGCACCAGTGCCTGCTCTCTCATTATTACCATTGATCACTGTGTCTGGCACACAGCATAAAACACATGGGGGAGGGGATCCACCATCTAAGTGGAGTCCACCATCTAAGGTGTGGAACTGCATGCAGGGCTCTACCCCTCTCCTGCCACACAGTTTCCCTGGGGTGCCCCAGGTGTTGACCCACAGACACATTCAGACTCGTCCCTGTCCTCAAGCGCCCAGTGCTAGGGCCCAGGGCCAACCATTCACAGTCCTTACCTGCATCTCACTCATTGGACTGCACCTTCCTCATGACTCTGACCCTTCCACAGTGACAGTTCCACAGACAGTCCCAGCCCACACCATAGGCACTTCCTTCACCTCCTTACAGGGTACTCTGCACATGGAATCCAGGCAGTGAATGGAAATGCATCCAGCATTCATCTCAGCCCAGTCCTGCCCCTGAACACCAAAGTCCCCTGGGGCCAGGGCCTGCCCCAAGCCCTTCTTGGAAGGTCTCACCACGTGGCCCTGTTTTTTCCTTCCTCCCCAGCCACCCTTTTTATGTGAGACCTCATGTCCCCTTAGCCCTCTCCCTCTTCCGTGTTGCACGAACTGTCCCATAAGCAGTCAGCACCTTCTCTCCTCACATGAAGCCCAGGTACACCGACCTCCCCACCCACACTGTCACTGCACCCTAAGTCTAGCGACTTTCCTAGCTGATCCCATTTCCTCCCTCAACATCCATCTCATGTCCGCTCTGGCCTCAGAAGACTCTCACGCCTACATCCCGCTGTCATGCACAGACAAGGACACTCTGCTCCCTCATCTGTCTTCGTGATGCGCATCACCACCAGCCAGGTACCCAACCCACAGACTTAGTCCTGAGGCCCTTCATTCTCACTCCTTGTCCTCTAATGGCATCACCACCATAAACTAGAAATGATGCCGCCTAAATCTTACCTTCGGCTTCATCGTAGTCCACACACGGGCCACTCTGTTGTGGCTGTCTCCATCCTGAATCCGTCCTCTGAACTCCAGCCCTCTGTGTAAATGTGCCCACTCAACACCTCCCCTTGGGAGTCTCTGGAACATTTGTGACGTGGACAAAAATGGACTCTCCTTATTCCACCTGCAAATTCCTCCTAAAGCTGACTTTGCCCATTTTAGTTGATGAGGCATCCATCCTTCCTAACAAGCCCAGAAACCTGAAGTCACCCCCAATTCTTCCTGTCGGCCCACTTTCTTGAGTCCCTCTCTCTCCATTACATAAAACATGGGCAGCTCTAGTTCAAAATACATCCAGAAACCAGCCGATCCTCCATCTCAACAACTAGCATTCTTGTGTTACACCACCAACACTCATCTGGATTGCTGCAGGAAATCCCCCCTCCAAATATTCCTGCCTTCACTCATCCGTACCCCCAGCCCCATCTTTCTTCCGATTTGCAGCCAGAGGAAGCCTGTTAGGCTAGGTCATAGCACCTTTCTCCTCTGATTCAAACTTTCCCTACCACCCACCTTCCTCAGTAGAGGCTCAGGACCTCAGGCTATCATTCAAGGCCTCATACCTGTGTAATCCTCACTCAGCTCCCCATTTCCACTAGATATAACAGAGACATGCAGTTCCCTGACCTTCCCAGCTAAGTCTCACCTGCAACTGTCTGAATATTCTGCATCCTGTAGTCAGGACTCTCTGCCACAACTTACCCCATCAGTTGTCAGAAATGGAACTGTTCCATGTAACCTGGTACTAAATATAGGATCCTGGGCCTGGTGAAAGCACATGATCTATAGATGCGAGAGAGGGAGAATGGATAGAAGTCTTGGGAGCTACCATTCCCTGAGGGCATATATATCAGAGTGAAAAAAACATCAGGGTGATAATTGGGATGGGTGAAAGGTAGGACCCCTCCACTCACCTGTACAGGGTCCATAACCATTTCTGCCACTGCCGTGGGACCCTGAGGAAGAAGGAAGCCTTGAGAAATGGGTAGCATTGTAGGATCCTACAGCTGAGCTGGACCACCACCCCAGCCTTGCCCTGCCTTGGTATAATGGGATCTCAGCCTGACAGTCTGTGGTCAGTTCTTCAGAAAACAGTACTGCCTCTTACTAGCTGAGTGACACTGGAGAAGGACTAAGCCTCCCTGAGCCTCAGGGAAAAGAAAATGCTTATGAAGATAAGAATGCTTCCAAACTCATAGGGATCTAATGTAAGGAGGACATACCATGTATCAGCTATGATTGTACATAGGATCAATAGTTTTGTACATATTTTCAGTGCAAGTGAAGCAGCAGAGTTTTGAAACTTAGGGTCTTCATTTTTACTGCTTTTTAAGATTTCAGAGGATGTCATATATAGAACTTTGCATTGTAAGCAAATACCTAGAGGTAAATCAATGCCAAGCCATTTAAAAAGTGTTTACATAAATTTAACTGAGTGAACAGGCTTATTTCTAATTGCCTGTATGTATTTAGAGGAATGTTGATTAATTAGTGTTTAAATTAGTTTTCATACATTCTTAAGTTAACGAGTCATGGGGAGGGGCTGGGCAGGCAGGTCAGCTATTAGTCCATTCAGTACCAGGCCTATCACTAAATAATCCTCAAAACAGAGCTTGTTGGGGACCCTTGACCGAAGCAGTGGATCATCCCTCTTGCCTTGAGAGGTGGAGGTGAGTTGGCAGTGCCCTTTTCTGGGACCCACTGGCTGCACTAGCCTGGCTGAGTGGCCCTGAGGGTTGGCAGAGCCTGCAAGTGGAGAATCCGCACCAGCACACACTGCAGGCTCTACAGAAGGAAAGCTCCTTACTCCATCCAGGCCTCCCTTTCAACAGACATATCCCAGAATCCCTCCTATGTCAGGCCTGCTCTTCTGGAGGGAGCATCAGGGATGCCAGCACCAGCCCTCATGCCCTGCCCTCCAACTCTCAGCCCTCCCCTCCCTCACCACAGGGCCCATCTCAAGTAACACTCTTAAGACTCCCTCAATCTGATCCCCAGGCCATGCCCTGGTCCAATCCACACCCTCCATGCCTTTGATATTTCCAACCCTGTCCCCTTCCTCTGCTTCCAGACTTTATGTTCACCTCCACATATGGTATCTCCATTTGGTGACATCTCCATCTTGATACATGTCAGGATCAACATGTCCAAATACAACTCATGATCTTCCCCCGGAACCTGCTCCTCGCGCTGACTTCCTCATCTCCCCACTATCAGATGTTCACGCAAAAAACTTGGATGGTACTTCATTCCCTACTTTTGCTTACAACCGTATTTTATGCAGCAGGAAATCCCGTTTCCTCCAAGTTTGAGATTTTTCCAGAATCTCATCCCATCTCCCAATGTCGCACTACCTTCCTGGCCCAGCCCCTGCCATAATTCTCCTGGGGTCTATCGCGGTGGTCTCCTCAGCAGTCTCCCTGCCTCCATCCTCAACCCGTTCTCCCAATTTTTAACTTCTAACTCTGGATACGGTTCTCCCATCCCCATTCCCTTCACAACCTTCCATGGATTCCACCTGCTCAGGTTGTCGTTTCAGGTGAGACAACTCCTCCCCCTCTGTCCACGACACAAGAGACTCCAGGTTTCCCCAATGCTGCCGACTCCGTAGCACCTGCAAGCCGTGCACCGGGGGCCCCCCGAGGGAACTCTCTCCCTCACCCCAGTCCACGGGCTGAAAGGGGACCCCTCCCAAGGCCGCCTTCTGTTCTGGGCGCCAGGGCTGACCGGCAGGGAATTGAACGGGCGCACCACCGGGTGGGGCCCTGGGAGACACATCACCCACCTGAGCTGGGCTCATCCCTAAGCCTCTCCGCCTGCTTCTTCGCTCGGTCACCTCCCTGCCCGCCAAGCGGCGTTTAAGCCCGGAACTCCTAAACGTCCAGAGAGACCCCCAAAGACAGGAAGGAACTCCGGAAGTCCCAGCCCAGATGATGCGCACGCAACCATCCGTCCCTCCTCTAAGCTTTCATTGGCCCAGTTACCGCCGCCGCCGCCGGTCACCGAGCTAACGAAGGCTCAGCAGACGAACGTTTTCGTCTGCACGCATTCGGGGGCGGGACTTCCATAGGCTTCATGTGGGGTCCGGTTTCCGTGTTTTTTCACCTTTTTCAGGGCAGTGAGTCCTGAGTCGGGACCGAAGAGAATGGAACAGGCGAGGAGAGGCGTTGGCCCCGGTGCCCAGAGGCGGCTGTGAGGCGCCCCCGAGCCCGTAGTTGACTGCAGTGCCCTCGTTCCCGCCCCGCCCGCCGCCTCTTCCGGCTCCGTTCTTCCCACCGACCGGTGACCCCGGTGACCGAGGCTGCGCCGATGAGGCCCGCTCAGGTGGGTGCTGCGTCTCCCGGGCCCCCACCCGGCCCGACTGCCGCCTCCGAGTCCTAAATATGGACGGAGGGGCGCCCGCTCGGTTCCCTGACGGTCAGCCCCAGAGCCCAGAACAGAGGGCGGCCTTGGGAGGGGGTCCCCTTTCAGCCCGTGGACTGGGGTGAGGGAGAGAGTTCCCTTGGGGGCCGACGGTGCATGGCTTGCAGGTGCTACGGAGTCGGCAGCATTGGGGAAACCTGGGGTCGCTTTTGTCGTGGACAGAGGGGGAGGAGTTGCCTCACCTGAAACGGAAGCCTGAGAAGGTGCAATCCGTGGAACGTTGTGAAGGGATTGGGGATGGGAGAACCGTGTCCAGAATTAGAAGTTAAAAATTGGGAGAATGGGATGAGAATGGAGGCAGGGAGACTGCTGAGGAGACCACCGCGATAGACCCCAGGAGAATTATGGCGGGCTGGGCCAGGAAGGTAGCGCGACATGGGAGATGGGATGAGATTCTGCATAGATTTCATTAATAGAGCCTACAGGACTTTCTGATGTGCCATGTATAGCTGTGAGCAGAAGTAGGGAGTGAAGGACCATCTCAAGGTTTTTTTTGTTTTTGTTTTGTTTTTGCGTTTTTGGCAGGAAGCAACCACAAGGAGCAGGTTTCAGAAGATAATGAGTTAAATTGTGAATGTGTGACCCTAAGATACCTCAAGGTGGAGACGGCACATAGGTATGTGGACATGAAGGTCTGGATGCAGGGGAAGAGGGCTGGACTGAAGCCGTCAAACGAGTGGAGGGTGTGGACTGAACCAGGGCATGGCCTGGGGATCAGATTGAAGAGAGAGATTTTTTTTTTTTTAAGAAGATGTTGGGGGTAGGAGTTTATTAATTAATTTATTTATTTTTGCTGTGTTGGGTCTTCGTTTCTGTGCTAGGGCTTTCTCTAGTTGTGGCAAGCGGGGGCCACTCTTCATCGCGGTGCGCAGGCCTCTCACTATCGCGGCCTCTCTTGTTGCGGATCACAGGCTTCAGATGCACAGGCTCAGTAGTTGTGGCTCACGGGCCTAGTTGGCTCCATGGCATGTGGGATCCTCCCAGACCAGGGCTCGAACCCGTGTCCCCTGCATTAGCAGGCGGTTTCTCAACCACTGCGCCACCAGGGAAGCCCGAGGAGGGAGATTTTTAAGGTTGTTATTTCTGATGGGCCCTGTAGTGAGTGTCCGGAGAGCTGAGACTTTGAGTTTGGGGCATTAGAGGGTTCATCATCCCTGATGTTCTCTCCATAAAAGAGCATATCTGGCATAGGAGCTACTCTGGCCTGTGTCTGTAGAAAAGGATACCTGGATGTGATGAATTGCCGGCCTGGATGGAGATGAAGGTGTAAGGTCGTGTAGAATGAGCCCTGCAGGTCAGCTCTTCTCCTAGAGGAGAATCCCTGTGGAACAAAGAAATAGCCAGGTTTGTGGAGCAGATTGCTTCCAGACAAGCACACTTCTGACACACCTCTTCCACCACTCAGGGCAAGAGGAATGAGAGCACTATAGTCAAGGGACTCCTGCAGTGCACTTGAGCGGATCCTTTGCAAACAGGAAACAGTCTTGTTTGCAAAAAGGAAAAGTACCTGACCTGCCTGTTCAGACTCTCTCTACAACTCATTAAATTTAAAATGTATGAAACATACTTACTGATCAAAACATCTGTTAACCAGTATCCTTCTAAATATGTACACGTAGAGGGGCAGTTAGAAATGAAGACATTCAATAGATTAAACATAGGAACACTTTATAAAAAATTGCTTGAAATTTAATTTACCTGTAGTATTGGTAATACTTTAGGTGTTAGCAAATTTAGTGGAATGTTATATATCTCATTTTCTGAAAACCTTAAAAAGCAGAAACAGGAGGGGTGGGATGAGTTGGGAGATTGGGATTGACATATATATACTTTATGTATAAAATAGATAACTGATGAGAACCTACTGTATAGCACAGGGAGCTCTACTCAATGCTCTGTGTGACCTAAACGGGAAGGAAATCTAAAAAAGAGAGGATATATGTATACGTATAACTGATTCATTTTGCTGTACATCAGAAACTAACACAACACTGTAAAGCAACTATACTCCAATAAAACTACTTTTTTAAAAAAAGCAGAAACAATGCAAACCCACATTTTGAAAACCCAGTCCCTTCATTTGAACTGAAAACATGAAAAATTGTGAATCTTATGTATAGTTACAGCTGATAGGTAGTGTGTCCTCTTATGTTTAATACTACTGTCAGCCTTATGAGGTAGAAACCATTGTTATCCCTATTTTACAGTAAAGGAATTGAGGCTCAGGGAGGTTCAGTCATTAAAGAAGGGTCACACAGCTGATAATAGTGACACTGAGGTCAGAGAAACAGCATAGACCATCAGGCTGAGACCATTTTGCTCCAGGGCAGGCCAGAGGTGATAGTCTAGCCCAGCCTGTAGAATTCTAACGTGGTTGCCCATTTCTCTTGGCCTCCCTCTTCCCACAGGTTCCCATGGCATTTGCAGAAATGCTTATGGACCTGTACAGGTGAATGGAGGATGTGCCAGACCTTCATCCACCCCAGTTATCACCCTGATGGTTCTGCCACTCCCATATAAAGAATGCTGGTGGCCTGAGATTGTTCACCCATCCTCCCTTCCTTGGGTCTGAAGTCCCTGTGGTTTCACCAAGGCCTAGGGTCTTGAACTCAGTCCCAGATTATATGGAGCTGTTCCCATTTCCAACAACTGATGGAGTAAGATGTGGAAGGATGTCGTGGGCACAGGATCCAGAATGTCCAGATGACTGGAGGTGAGACTGAGCTGGAATGTTCAGGGAACAGCAAGTCTGTTACATGTGATAGGATTATGGTTGGGGAGAGTGAGTGGAGGGTAGGGGCACACAGTTATCAGGTCTCAATTACAGCCTGAGGTTTTGGGCCTCTAATCCGAGGGAAGTAGGAGCTAGGGAAGGTTTGAAGTAGAGGAGCCAGGTATTTGACCCAGGTTGTAACTGGCTGTGTCTAGCCACAGGAGATGCTGTGTGAGAGGGAAGGTAGAGGTAGAGTGACATGGGGGAAGTGACTGTGGTGGACGTTGGTGGTCTCTGGACAAGAGTCACTGCCGTGGAGGTAGCGAAGTGGTTGCCTTCTGTTTGTGTTCTGAACAGACCTGCCCACATTGAGTGATGTGGAGAGCGTGGGACTGGGAGATGAGATGGAAGGGCGAGTCAGAGGTGACCCCAAGTTTCTAGCTTTCTCTGGAAAGATGTGTTCTGGACACAGTGATCAGTAGAAATAAGGAGAGAGAGGCACTGGTGTCACTGGACATTGTATCTCTTCCACATTTGGGAAGTGGGTGTGGAGGTTGAGGAGGGAATGGACTTGTCGGGGGAAAGAGTAAAGACCCTGAAGAAATGAGCTGTGCATTGATTGAACCATCCCCATTTTGGCGGGGACTTGTGGTTTTTACAGACGTGGCCATACATTTCTCTCAGGAGGAGTGGGGGCTCCTTGATGAGGCTCAGAGACACCTGTAACACCATGTGATGCTGGAGAACTTTGCACTTCTCTCATGGCTAGGTAAGGCCCTCATAACTCTTCCCCCACCCCAGTGTCCTGGGCTGGGCTGTTTTTTCCAACCAAACCATGAGTAATCCTTCCTTCCTTGGTTTCCTAGCATATGTGTGTGGGAGCCATTCCCAGGCTGTGTGCACCGTACTGCCTCTCCCCAAGCAGCCCCATCCCATGTTGCTCTGAAACCTTGCCTGTCCCTGGTCAAGTTACTCTGTTCAGATGCATGGAGGCCTTCCCCCTTCTTGCTGACGTTTTGGGGGCCCTGCCTGTGGCAGAAATACATGCTTACTACTTGTAGAGACCACTGACTCTGCGAGACCCTCCACTGTAGTTCTTGCGATTTTTGAATGGGGGCCATCATGTGTTGGCTCACTCTGGGGGCATGCTGTCCACTCCCTTTTCCTGTGTTTCACCTGGGTTGGTCTGTGCCAGGTCCCATAGAAGTGCTCACCATGAGGCAGAGAGAGGGGCCTGAGTGTCTTGAAAGGATGGACATTACTCCATCAGTGCCAACAAGAGGTGGCTCTGGAGCTTAGGAGCTGGGAGAGGGTGTGTTGTCAAAGCTGGCTTCAAATCACACTGGAAGCCAGGCCTTTGTCCACCACTGGGTGATGCCAGGAACAGTGGTCAAACTTCATTTCTACATTTTCTTTCCTATTGTCATTTCTAATCTTCCAGTCCTCGGCTCCCCTGACTTTTGTAGTCTCCACTTCCTATTTGTTCCTTTGCCGTGCTGTCAACATTTGACCGACACTTAAGCTATTGTGACATTTGCACATATCTTTTTTATCTAAGTTACAAGTTCCTGTATTTTTTTTAATTGAAGTATAATTGATTTACAATGTTGTGTTAATCTCTACTGTGCAGCAAAGTGATTCAGTTATACATAGATATACATCCTTTTATTTTTTAATATTCTTTTCCATTATGGTTTATCACAGGATATTGAATATAGTCCCCTGTACTATACAGTAGGACCTTGTTGTTTATCCATCCTATGTATAGTAACTTACATCTGTTAACCCCAACTTCTCACTCCATCCCTCCTCCAACACCCTCCCCTTGGCAACCACCAGTCTGTTTTCTATGTCCATGAGTCTGTTTCATAGATATGTTCATTTGTGTCATATTTTAGATTCCACATATAAGTGAAATCATATGGTATTTGTCTTTCTCTTTCTGACTTACTTCACTTAGTATGATAATCTATGGCTGCATCCATGTTGCTGTAAATGGTATTATTTCGTTCTTTTTTAAGGTTGAGCAGTATTCTATTGTATATATGTAGAACATCTTCTTTATACATTTGTCTGGCGATGGACATTTAGGTTGCTTCTATGTCCTGGCTATTGTGAATAGTGCTGCTGTGAACATATGGGTGCATTTATCTTTTTGAATTAGAGCTTTATCTGGATATATGCCCAGGAGTGGGATTGCAGGATCATATGGTACTTCTCTTTTTAGTTTTCTGAGGAAGCTCCATAGTATTTTCCAGTGACAGCACCAACTAACATTCCCACCAACAGTGTAGGAGGGTTCCCTTTTCTCCACACTCTCTCCAGCATTTGTTATTTGTAGAGTTTTTAATGAATGGCCATTCTATTTGCACATATCTTTAAACAGTCCTTGGATACCAACTACTGGGTCACAATCAGACATCTCTGGCTCTGGACACAGCCTTCTACCCAGTACTCACTTCTCACCAGCATCCATGGCCTTGTGGAAAGCCATTTTCAGAGGAGTGAGCTGGGGACCCTTCTCCTTCCTGCACTGTACCCCTTCCTTGTGTCCTTACCTACTGTCAGGGCTCTCCCATCATCTGAGCTTCCCAGGCGCAGCTCTGCACAGCAGGCCTTCTCGCTGGCTCTGGCCCCTGTTGCTTATCATCAGTCCTATGTATTTATTCGTAGGTGTGGGTGACACACATTTGTGGTGGGGCTGCTCCTCCCACCAGTGTCAATATGCTTCACCAGCATTTCTCTGGTTGCACGTTGTTGGCATGGAGCCCAGGATGAGGAGGCAGCCTCAGAGCAAGGTGTTTCTATAGAAGTGTCACTGGCCAGGACGCCAAAGCCAGGTCCCTCCATCGGGAACGCCCAGCCCTGTGGGACATGCAGCTCACTCTTGAAAGACATTCTGTCCCTGGCTGAGCAGGGTGGAACGCACCCTGGGCAAGGACTATACACTTGTGAGGCAAAGCTTTGCCAGCACCAAAAATGTCACATTAGAGAGAAACTTTCCTGAAAGGACAAGGGGAGGCCTTCATTTGTGAAAAACTGTACTGTCCACATGACACAGAGGACCTTCACATGCAGGGAAGGTGGGAAGGACTTCCCAGCCAGCACAGGCCCTCTCCAGCACCAGCCTCTTCATGGTGTGGGAAAGCCACATGGGGACATTGCAGATGGAGAGGACTTTCAAAATGGGCCAAGTGCTTACAAGTGCACTCAATGTGGGAAAGCCTTCAGCCATAACCATACACTTGTTGACCAAGAGAAGATCCACACTGGAGAATAGTTTTATGAGCATAGCAAATGTGGGAAGGCCTTTCTTAGAAAGTCCCACCACGAGCAACATCAGAAAGTCCACACTGAGCCTGGGCTTTATGAGCGCTCAGAATGTGGGGTATTCGTTACAGAAATATCTGGCCTCAAAGACCACCAGAGAATTCACACAAGGCCAAGGCCTTTTGAGTGCAGCCTTCTTTAGACCGTCCCAACTCGTTGGTCACCAGAAAATCCACACTGAAGAAAGAACTTACGGTTGTAGTGAGTGTGGAAAATTCTTTAGGAACTGTTCCACACTCATTAGACACCAGAGAGTTCACACTGGAGAAAGGCCTTTTGAGTGCACTGAATGCGGGAGAGCCTTCACCTGCAAACATAGGCTTGTTGAGTACCAGAATATCCACAGTGGTGAAAAGACTTTTGAGTGTAGAGCATGTGGGAAAGCTTTCAGCCACAAAGGCACAGTTGTTGAGCACCAGAGAATCCACACTGGAGAAAGGCCTTACAAGTGCAGCGAATGTGGGAAATTCCTTATGGACAGCTCCTCACTCATTATTCATTAGAAAGTTCACACTGGACAAAGACCTTATGAGTACGGCAAATGTGGAAAAAACATTTTTTAAATTTATTTTAATTTATTTATTTTTGGCTGCGTTGGGTCTTTTTTGATGCACGTGGGCTTTCTCTAGTTGTGGGGAGCGGGGGCTACTCTTTGTTGTGGTGCACGGTCTTCTCATTGTGGTGTCTTCTCTTGTTGAGCACGGGCTCTACGGCACGTGGGCTTCAATAGTTGCAGCGCATGGGCTCAGTAGTTGTGGCTCGTGGGCTCTAGAGCTCAGGCTCAGTAGCTGTGGCACACAGGCTTAGTTGCTCCACGGCATGTGGGATCTTCCTGGACCAGGGCTCGAACCCGTGTCCCCTGCATTGGCAGGAGGATTCTTAACCACTGCGCCACCAGGGAAGCCCCAAATGTGGAAAATTCTTTAGGTACCACTACACCCTTATTAGACATCAGAGAAGTCATACTGGAGAAAGGCCTTATGAGTGCATCGATGTACGAAATCCTTTTGTTGCAGCTCCACTCATTAGACATTGGACAAATCCCACTGGAGAAAGGTCTTATTAGTGCAGCTAATGTGGGAAATTTTTGTAGTAAAACTCCAGAGTCAGTACACACCAGCGAGTTCACATTGATGTGAGGCCTTATAAGAACAGCAAATAAGGGAACATCTTTACATACAACTCTGGTCTTGTTAAGCACTGTTGAATTTACACCGGAGAAATGCCTTCTGAGTGCAGTGAGTGCTGGAAAGTCTGTAGCCAAAACTTCCATTCATTTGGCTCCAAAAAGTTCACACCAGAGAAAGAACTTATGAAGGAAGCAAATGGGGAAAGGACTTCAGCCGAAAGTCTGCTCTGATTGGCACTGTGAAGTACATATTATGTACTTTTGGGGTTTTTTTTTTTCCTTCTTATTGTGTTAAAATACACACACATAAAACTTGCCATCTTTTAAGTATTTTAGTGTGCCGTTCAGTACCGTGAGGTACATTCACACTGTTGTGCAACCTAATCTCCAGAGCTCCTCTTGTTTTGCAAAAATGAAACCCTGTACTCATTAAATAACAACACATACTCCTCTCCTTCTCCAGCCCCTGGAAACCACTATTTTCTGTCTCCTTGAATTTGAGTGCCGCAGCTGCCTCATGTAAGAAGAATCATACAGTTTTTGTAGTTTTTGAAGACTTCATTTACCAGAATCTCACATTTCACGTATCACGTGTTCTGTTTCAGAAGTCCTTTCCTTTTTAAGCCTGAGTTATACTCCATTGTATGCATATACACATCTTTATCCATTCATCTGGTGATGAAGACTTCCATTGTTTCCATATTTTAGCTGTTGTAAAGAGTGCAGCTGTGAGAACGACTGCACAAATATCTCCTTGAGATCCTGTTTTCAGTTATTTTCAGTGTATAGCCAGAAGTGGAATTCCTGGATCATATGGTCAGCTTTTTTTTCTAATTTATTTTTGGCTGCATTGGGTCTTCATTGCTGCACGCGGCCTTTCTCTAGTTGTGGAGTGTGGGCTTCGCATTGCAGTGGCTTCTCGTTGTGGAGCACAAGCTCTAGGCGCGTGGGCTTCAGTAGTTGTGGCTCGCAGGCTCAGTAGTTGTGGCGCACGGGCTTATTTGCTCCGTGGCATGTGGGATCTTCCCAGACCAGGGCTCGAACCCGTGTCCCCTGCATTGGCAGGCAGATTCTTAACCACTGCACCACCAGGGAAGTCCCCGATCTATTTTTAACATTTTGAACTGTTTCCTTTATTGGCTGCTCCCATCCTTTATTTTATGCTCCCATCAAACGTCCACAGAGTTCCAGTATCTCCACATCCTCATTGACATAATTCTATTTTCCGTTTCATGTTTAATAGTAGTTATCCTAATGGATGTGAGATAATTTCTCACTGTAGTTTTGTTTATTTTATTTTATATTATTTTTTCTTTTTTATGGCTGCGTCGGGTCTTAGTTGCAGCATGCGGGCTCTTTGTTGTGGCGCACGGGCTTCTCTAGTGTGGCATGCAGATTTTCTCTTCTCTAGTTGTGGCCCGTGGGCTTCTCTCTAGGTGTGGTGTGCAGGTTTTCTGTTCTTTAGTTGTGGCGCGTGGGCTCCAGGGCATGTGGGCTGTATAGTTGTGGCATGCAGGCTCCAGAGCGTGTGGGCTCTGTAGTTTGCAGCATGTGGGCTCTCTAGTTGAGGAGCACGAGCTCAGTAGTTGTGATGCGTGGGCTTAGTTGCCCTGTGGCATTTGGGATCTTAGTTCCCCAACTAGGGATCAAACCCACATCCCCTGCATTGCAAGGTGGATTCTTTACCACTGGACCACCAGGGAAGTCCCCTCACTGTAGTTTTGTTTAGCATTTCCCTAATGATTAATGATCATGCCTTCTTGGCCATTTGTGTATATTCTTTGTAAAAATCTCTATGTTTACCCCTTTAAAATTTTTCTTATTGGTGAGTTTTAGCAGTTCTTTATATAATCTGGATACTGACCACTTATCAAATATATGATTTGCAAATGCTTTTCTTCCATTCAGTAGCTTGCCATTTCACTCTGTTGATTGTGTCCTTTGCACAGAAGTTTGTACCCTTATTTTTGCTTTTGTTTCCTATGCTTTTCACGTCAATGCCAAGAAGTTATAAATCCAATGTCATGAAGCTTTTCCCCTATGTCTTCATCTAAGAGTTTTTGAGCTTACGTCGTACTGTCAGGTCCTTGTTTATTTTGAGCTCATTTTTGGGTGTGGTGTAAGGTAAGGGTCCAACTTCATTCATTTGAATGCAGATATCCACTGTAATTTGTTGGAGAGACTGTCCTCCTCCCATGGAATTGCGTTGGCACTCTTGTTGATTATTTGATCAAATATACTGGCTTCCAGTTCTGGGCACTCTGTTCTGTTTCATTGGGCTAAAGTTTTGTGCTTATGGCAGTACCAGTGTTTTGTTTTTGCTTTTTAAAAATTTTTATTACAATGTAGTTAATTTACAGTGTTGTGTTAGTTTCAGGTGTACAGCAAAGTGAATCAGTTATTCGTATACATATATCCACTCTTTTTTAGATTCTTTTCCCATATAGACCATTACAGAGTTTTGAGTAGAGTTCCCTGTGTTAGACAGTAGCTCCTTATTAGTTATATTTCAGTTTTGAGTCCCTGGCTTGATGCTAGTCATTTCCTCTTTTAGAGCAACAGCTGATTAAGACCACAACCAATCACTGTCTATATCAGGCACTCACACTCTGAACACCATCCCTTATGTCCCAGGGCCAGGATACCAGGCAACTGGAGACAGCCTGTATGCCCCTGACCCCATGAAATTATTCCAGCTAGGTCATCCATGGGGAGCCTGGGAAACCTAGGTAGCCCCAGACCACCTGCTATGTATAGGGTGCTCCCTACAGCCCCAGGTTACTTACTGTGTCCCTGTACAGCCTGTTGTGTGCCCTGCCTGATGCCCTTGTCTCATCCTAAGCCCTAGGTAACAGAATTCTTCTTTTTATCTACCCAAGTGTCATCAAGAACATTTAAATCTTACAAAACAACTACAAACCCAGAAGAGTGTTAGGAATGCAGTGAATGTTGAAAGTTATTCAGCTATTAGCCTAAACTCAAACAGCACTGGTAAATTTAAATCGGAGAAACATCTTCGGAGTGCAGGCAACATGCTGTTTCCTTGTTCTACGTAATTACAGAGCGACATTTGGAGATTAGTCTTTGTGAAAGAGAACTCAGCCATAAATTGAACTTCATGCCTCCAGACATCCCAGGAAGATTCTCTTAAGTACCAATTATATTGGAAGCTTTCATGATAACACCTTGCACTTCTGGACCTGCCTGGAGTCCTTGCCAGAAATAAGTTGTTACCAGTATCTGTTACGTTAGCCCTCCCTCCTTTGCCACACGGCAGGGTGCCGCAGTGTGTATGAATCATCCTTACAGTGCTTGGGAGGCAGGAAGCTACACTTTCTCCCTTCATCTGGAGGACTCACCCGTCTCTTGACTTTTGGGGTATCTCATTCACTTCCCACTGATTGTTTTGGGTGGGATATTACCCAGTTCTGGAAAAGAGGACTCCAGCTGGCTTCTGCAGGCAGCTTGTGGAGATTTCCCTTCTTCGTGAGTATATTTGATTGACTTGTAATGGTTGGGTTGATTTTTCCACCCTCAGAGTCACCCGACCCAGGACTATCAGCAGAGCTTAGAAGGGTTTGAATTCCGCTCTATCCCCAGAATCAAAGCTCTCAGACACCAGGGAACACTACCCTGATCACCTGTCCCATGACTCCAAGATTCAACCCTTCTCTCACTCATGAACTCAGGATACATTTCTGTCATAGCAGTAGAATTGTTTCACTGCATGCACCTGCTTTCGCATATGTGTACCATACTTAATGACGAGCTCCTTCCCTGCTCAAGGGCAGGACCCATATCTCTGTCATCCATATGACATATGACTACTCAGAACACAGTGCTTGGTGGGTGGAGCAGAAAGGCCACAGCCAGACCCTCTGAGTGACCACAGATATGAAGACAAGGCAGAGAAAACTGGATGGTGAGAGAATGAACCCTGGTGGGTCCTTCACCCACTGGGATGCATCTCATATGTCTTGCAGTTTGGGGCCCAGGTCCCTTTATGGGCCACCTTGTCCCAAGGAGCTCCCAGTTATGGAAAGAATAGCCCTCTGCTTTGAACCAAGAATTGTTTCCTGAGAGTGGATTCTCCGACTCTCATGGATCCCAAGGCTCAGATTCATGTACAGCTACAGCTACAACCCAGACAATTATCTTGAGAGGAGATATGAGAGGGTAGTGTCTTCAAAACGCAACTTACTTTCCTACAGGATACAGGAACCACACAAGCTATTCTCAAAACATTATAAATTTAGCGGAAAAAATGATGTTTTTTCTCACTGAGAGCTGTGTGTGCAGTAACAATATTGGATAAAACAAAACATAAAGGGTTCGTGTCCACCTTGGCAACACAAAAGTATGTATTTGATTATATAAAAGGCTCCAAGGAGGGCTCAACTGGACAGTACATTTTTTTAAACCAAAGGTCATATTGATTATTTTATGCAGCTTTGAAATTAGCCCCAAAGACAGTCCCAAGGGAGGAATATCAACACAACATGACTGATAAGAGCATCCTGAGAATAAGACCACAATAGTAACTGTGAAACCCATACGTGGCTACCTGTATGCATCCTGGTTTGTCTGTTAAAGTTCCAGTCACTTTACAATGCTTCACAGAAACTTTTTTTCCCCTGCAAAAAGCGCTATTTTTTCCATTTGGCCCAAGGTTTGGAGAGGGCTCCAGGGTGGTTAACAATCTGCCCAGTGGCTTCAGGGAGAGGCTTCAGGGAGAAGCCCTGACCCCAGAAGGACTCACAGGCCGCTGGGCTCCAGGGGCTCCTAGTGGTGCTTGAGGCTGAGCCTTTGGAAGAGGCATTCGCCCAGCCCAGCCTGGGGGCCGAGCAGCCTGCGGAGGTTGGTCAGGTGGTCGCCAATCTTCTTGATGAATTTCACCTGCTCATCCAGGAAGTGGCTCCAGGAAGTCCAGAGGTGGAGTCTGCGCGGGGAGAACCGAGGGCCTACGGATCCACAGGGCCTGGTGCAGGTTCTTCTCCGTCAGCCGGGCGGCTTCCACGGCGTCCTGAGCTTTACCCACTGCTCTTGGAACGGCTTCAGCACGTCCTGGAAGAGGGCGCGGCCATGGCGCTGCTTTTGGCTTTTCCACTGAGCTCGGGCCCTCCGGCTTCTCCTCGGCCATTTCGCGAAACGATGTCTCACACCCTCGAGAGCTGATGCGTCGGGTCAAAAGAGAAGCGCAGAGACAGGTAGGTGTGGGAGAGCGGCAGATGCACGTTATCAGGCGGGTGACTGCGGCCTCCACCTGGCGGAGTAATTGTGACGAATCTGGGAGCTCATGCTTGGTCGGCAACAAGGAGCTAAGCTCAGAAAGTGGTGTTGGCTGGTCCCGGAGGGCGAGGAGAGCTGAGTGGGTGGTTCCAAGGTTGTGACTGGAAAAAAGGTTGGAGGGTGGTCAGAGTCAGGAGGAAGGGGCGCCCCTGGGTCTGTTCAGTCCAAATGCTGTTGAAATGAGAGATCTGCCGGACAGTCAAGAAACTTTTATAAAATTAAGCAATGAGCTTTCTTTTCCATGTTTGTTTTTCTGAATTTAACTTAGCTATGTGTTTTATTGTCTTTGTTGTAGTTGCAGTTCAGCACATAGAAAATTAGAAACGCCCGTCTACTCAGGAGTAAAGACTTCAAGAAACACCAGGAAGAGGAAAGACTTAGGACTCACCTGGGATGACAACACAGCTACATGATCATCCTCACCCCTCTGGGTAAAATACAAACTTCCCAAACAATGGCTAACAATCCAGGGAAATAATTCCTCCCTTCGCCAAACCATCCTTGATCCGCTGTCCCTGAAACTTCCTCAACGCATACTGACCCTCCAGTAGAGGCCATAACCTCTCCCAACTCTGTCCCCTTCAGACTGTGATTCCTGGGCCTTGTTAGCAGGCATTTCGGATATAGGTTTCTGCTACCAGGGCTTGGGCTGATTTGCTTCCATCACGTGACCTTTAGTGTTTACATTCGGTCTTCAAACGTGTGAGACTGCAGGTTGTGGCAAGATGAGCACCCGGCTCCTGTTCTGGCTGCCATTGGCACATCATCAAACCTGCAGGGATGGTGCTAGGATGGGGAAGAGCAGGGATTATCTCCCAGCCAGGTTGAAACCACCTGTCACACTCGGTCCACGTGCATGATTGTGTGATCCTGTGTGTATATCCACACACTAGGCTTTTGGGCCTCCCTGTCCCATGCTTGTCTCACAAGTCTCCCTGGAGCATTTGTGCATTTGTGTCCTCATACCTGGTGTGGTAGTTCAGCGCCTCTCTCTATTCCCACAAGCCTCTAATGTGTGTCACATACACTGGTTGTGTGTCTCATGACTATCACATGTCTTTTCTGTTGTGGACGTGGTGTAATGCATGTGTGTGCGTAGGCTTGTTGAGGGGTGTCAGCATGCAGACCTCATCACAGTGTCCCCAGGATGCCTGTGCACGGGCCTCCAAGTTGTGCTGAGGTGTATCATTATTGTTACCGGACTCAGTGGGTCCTTCCCTTGGGGTGCATAGCCAGTGAACACACCAAGTACTTTCAGTTAAAGCAGAAGCATTGTGACAAGTAAGGAGACAGGGAGATAGCTCTCAAAGCATTGGACTGAAGTATTAAGCCTGGGGGGCATGCATATTCAAGAAAATGTTACTGTAGGTTGCCAAAATCTGCAAGCAAGCAGGCACTGGGTTGTTTGCTCACAGTGTGTTATCTTGTTCACTGGGATTCACCGTAACCTTTTCGGAATGTTGGGTATTTGGAGCTTTGTGCCATGAATCTCCAATCTCTTTTCTTAGAGCATTTCCGTTAGCAAACTTCTAATTCTGAATTCTTTCTCTGTCCCTTTGAGACGTACATAAAGCTTTCGAAAAGCTAAATAATCCTCTTGTCAGTTTTACAACTGTGTAAAAATGTGCTCCCGGGATTTTAATTTATGGAGGTGACTGAGTGAGGACAGGAGAGGCTACTGCCATTGAAAGTTCCCCAAGGAAACGACAGGCACAGCAGGCCACGTAAGGCCACATGAAGCCTGTCACATGCAGGTGTCAGGAAGCAGAGAGGAACTGGGGCTGTGCCTTTATGACCACAGTGGCGGGAAGAACTAGGTAGTGACCTCCACTAGTGGGCAGGAAGCAAAAACACACATGCTATAGCTGGGAGTTTGTAACCCGTGGCCATGAGACCAGCTCGGAGGTGGGCCGGGACTTAACGAGGTCGGGCATCCGGGCGGCCGGCAGTGCGCCCTCGCCGGCCAGCGATCCGGATCCGTCCCGCTAATGTTCCCGCCGGTTGTCGGGCGCCATCTGGCGGTCACGTTTATTTTGTCCCTTCCCGGCCGGAGCTCGGGCGACGTCTGCAGGGGATGGGATTCGGCCGCGATGCCCGAGGCAGAGTTCCGGGAGGTCGGCGGGGCTGGCGGGATCATTCCGGTCTTGCCGAGCGGGCGCGCTTAGTGCTCTCTCCGGAGGTTGTACCTGCAGACTTATAGGGAAGAGGCTGGGTCCCCTCCGGTTGCCGAAGGGAGAAGGAAGGGGGTCTCCCGGGTTCGGAGGTGGGAACTGGGCCGGGTGGGGAGGCCCGAGCAGGGCGTGAGCCGTTCGGCCGCGGGCTCGCGTCGCCCGGTCTGCAAAAGTTCCCCCGTGGGGTTTTCCCGGGTCCTGATTCAGAGGCCGGCCGGCCCCGCACTGCCTGCGGGCGAACCAGGTAGGGCAAGCCGGGCCGCCTCTGCCCCCGGGGTCGGGGGTAGAAGGGGGGGGCCGCGGGGGGGGCCGTCAGCAGGTTCTGTCATTTTCTTCACAAGGGAATTAGTGATGCAGCCCTGGTCTCCAGCTCTGAAGGGCTTCCCCTACTCCTCAAGAGGTAAAGTAAACATTTCAATCACAGCCAAGGAGTTTTTTTTTTTAAGGTCTGGAGCCACCTCTTTGGAAAGAAAACATCAAGGAAGATCCCAGTTGCTGCGGTAGGCGTCGGGTCCTACGTTTCCGGTCATAAAGACACGGATGGGAAGTTCTAGGATTGCTTCGAATAAAGGTGAAGAGCTCCTGCAGAGTGTCACTCGAATTCCCAGGCACATTTAGGATAAAACTAACAAATGGGGCAGTCAAGTCCTCTCACCTGAAGGCAAGTGAGTGTTCATCTTGGTGCTTGCGTTGAATGGGCTCTGTCTGCTTGGTGTATCATGAATGGGTGCGGTTTGTCTTTATAATGTCTTTAGTGGGTTGTCTGTGATGTGCATCACAGTTTAGTTTCGTGCTCTGTGATGTGCATCACAGTTTAGTTTCGTGCTCATAGAACGAAGTATGTTTTTTCTCTACTTTGTGGAGAAGGTCTTGTTTTATTATCTCCCCAACTTTGGTCACCGTGTCAAACAGTATCAGATCCAATACAGGTGAATTGAGAAACGTGGCAAATCCTAAAACAACGGCTATTACAAGAAGGGAAGAGTATTTTCTAGTATCAATTCTGTAGGCTAAAGGGGGGATTAATTACAAATGGCTAGGAGAAAACCTTTGGTTTCAGAAGTGTAACCCTGTGCCAATGTTTTTCAAACCCTGCACTTAAAATGCATTTTATTTTTAAGTTGATTATACGTAACAAAGCTTTTTAAAAAGCACAATTACGTTCTGGAATGTGGGAAGACCACATTCAGGTTAAATAAATTGCTATCCACACTTCCAGAAGTTAGAGAAGCTATTAAAAGGCTAATGATCTGTTACAGTGAAAGGATACAGATGAAAAGCAGGAAAGATGGCACAATAGGACAAAGTCACAGAGGGACCACATTGCCAGTTTCCTGTGCCCTGTCACTTAGGCCTCACAGCATCCGTGGGTGACAATATGAAGTGTACTGCTAAGGGGAGACCTCACACAAGACCTGGTATACAGGCTTTTTTTAGTATGTCACGCACAAGGGACACCTGTGTGGCTGAACTTTCTAGCTTCTCTGAATGTCAAACAGCTACAGAGACCCTAAGGCTCCCCTACCCACTGGCATGTCAAATTATTAATATAAATTAGAATGGCACAAGGCCCCGGGTCACACTCTTATTAGTCCAAATGTTTCAAGGGCTCAGAGGTTTATTTCCCAAGAGTTGGGCCACTCTGTCAAACGTTTCTTTCAAATGAATACACATTGGACAACACAGGCCTGTGATGTAATCCTTTATACAGGTCAAGTAAAAATACTCAAAACTCGTACCCTTGTTTTAATACATGTTGGTATTTATTATCTATGTCCTCAAACTTATTTATGGGCATCTGTATAAGGGAATAGTAGAAAGGAGTGCTACTGCATGTGTTCCCCAGTCCACATTGGATGACCTTGAAACTGTGCCCCATAGGTTAACAGAAGTTGATGACTAACAACTTCTTGAGCTAGAATTATAAAAAAAAAAGGGAACAATATCATGTCAAAACCCCTCGCTTGTGAATTGCCTTAATTGGTTAAGTTCACTTGGGTGGGTTTTTTTTCCTCCTACTTGCATGTGCTCCAAGCTCCCTCCCTAGTTGGGCCATGTAGGTTTTCTCTTCTCTAGTTGTGGAGTGGGCTCAGTTTGTGGCATGTAGGCTTAGTTGCCCACTGCATGTGGGATCGTAGGTCCCTGACCAGTTGTATCACCCTCATCCCCTATATTGGAAGGTGGATTCTTTAGCACTGGACCACCAGGGAAGTCCCCCACTGTAGAAAACATCTCTGACAGGGTGGGGACACTGTAGGGAAGGGAGCCTCAGTTGTTTTTTAGGAAATTGGAGTCAGCTCTTGTCCAGCTATGTGTGAAGAACAGAAGCCTGTAATGCAGATACAGCTGTACACACTGACTACTGCCTCACCTTTTCTCTGATTGCCCTTCCCCCCACCTAAGACTACCCTGCCTCTTTGTCCCCTACAGCACCTCACCTCCAGGAAGGTGGCTGTGAGACTTTTTTGTCTCCTGGCTTGCTGCCTTGTGAGTGAAATTCCTCTCCGGCAAGCTTTGACATCCCACTGTTTGGCTTCTTGCACCTCTGGTTCAGTAAAATAACCTCCTGCTCACAGCGTGAAACTCCCCACAGTTGGAGTATTCATACCAGGGAAATTGGCAAATACAATAATTGGGGGGGGGGTGTTGGGTTTTTTTTTAAGTAGGTGCTAGACTTACAGTAATGGAGACTATGTTAATACATGGGGGGCACTGAACATTTATTCCATCCAGCAAAGTCACTGAGAAACTCAAGTTGCAACACATTTCTTTTTATTCTCTCCACAGTTACTAATAAAAAGACATTTAATCAAAGAAAACAATACACCTGGCAGATGAACACAGGAATGTTCAACATCGTGAATCACTAGGGAAATGCATCAGACCACAGTGAGGTATGTATCACACTTTAAAAGCAGCTAATATTCTGGGGCTTCTCTAGTGGTGCAATGGTTGAGAGTCTGCCGATATAGGGGACACGGGTTCGTGCCCCAGTCTGGGAAGATCCCCACATGCCGCAGAGTGGCTGGGCCCATGAGCCATGGCAGCTGAGCCTGCACGTCCAGAGCCTGTGCTCCACAACGGGAGAGGCCACAACAGTGAGAGGCCCGTGTACCGCAAAAAAAAAAAAAAAAGGTAATATTCAAAACAGTAACCATACCAACCCACTACTGGTGAGGAACACAGGGGATGGAAGGTTCCCATACTGTTAGAATGCAAAAAGGATACAACCCTATTCATTCGTTTTGAAACATGAAACCAGGGGTTTCCCTGGTCCAGGGGTGTAAGACTCTGTACTTCCACTGCAGGGGCACAGGTTCGATCCCTGGTTGGGGTAGATGCCCCATGGTGTGCGATGTGGCAAAAAAAAATAATAATAATGTGAACATAAAGACCCCAATGATATTAAAAGTCTAGAAAACACTAACTGAATGGGAAAAAAGGAACAATAAGTTGCCTGGGAGTTGTGAGGGGGTGTTCAAATGTGGGTGTGGCAGTGATGGTGGATGTTTGTAATTATGACAATTATGACACTGGTTCTGGGGGTTTACATGTATCAAAATTTAATCAAGCTGTTATGAGGTATGTTCAAATTCAATACATGCCCATATACTACAGCTCAATTAAATTTTGGCTCCACATAAAAATCTGAATTTGGGGTGTGTGTGTGCCATGTGCCTTTCAGGAGCCAAGGATCCCCCTGAATCTTACTCTGAATCTCCTTTTCAGTAGAACTCTGGCAAACCACAACCCCATCCTTGATTCCTTGTCTCATGGGAGGGATTCTGTAGTAGTAGTGATGAAGACTGGTGAGCAATGAAATGTTTTTTTAAATTTATTTTTGGTTGTGTTGGGCCATTGTTGCTGTGCCTGGGCTTTCTCTAGCTGTGGTGAGCAGAGGCTACTCTTTGTTGTGGTGTGGTGGCCTCTCTTGTTGCAGAGCACAGGCTCTGGTAGTTGTGGCACACAGGCCTAGTTGCTTTGAGGCATGTGGGATCTTCCCAGGCCAGGGCTTGAACCCCTGTCCCCTGCAGCAGGTGGATTCTTAACCACCGTGCCACCAGGGGAGTCCCTGAAAAGTGTTTCCACTTAAGTTATCCAAGAACTCTGCCTGGGTCCTAAAAATCACATGCCTGTACTACATGATTTCCACACTCATTCCCCATTGTTTTCACTGTGCATCAAATGGCCTTGAGATAAACTTTGCAGATGCTGAGGGAATCCTAAAACCTTTACGTTACTCAGTCTGACACTGACTGAGGCTAAGGAGGTTTCTGCAAAAACCTTAATGCAGAACAGCCACAGTGGTGGGAACATACATGAATGCAATTTTATATTTTATTCCTTCTTCTTTGGTAGTCTCTCCCTATAATTCCCTGTTTTAGTCCCACAGAGAGCCCTGCACTCTACCCCAGAAGGCCTTGGACAACGATGCAAAATGGGCCAGAACTGGAGTGAAAACTATTCTCTGCCATGATACTACCCCCAGTGAGGTATACTAAGTTTGGAACACCCACAAAACCTGTTCCTGTGTCCTGTCCTAGCCAGTTGATGGAAGAGAATGACAAAACCCACGTGCTCAGGGAATCCATGCTCTTCTACAGGGGATACGACAGCACAAAAGGCTACCTACCCTGATCACACTTAGATGACTGAGTCCCAGTATGGGGATCTGCCACTTGGAAAAGGTAAGAAACTCACAGTGACAGTAAGAAAGTAGAGCATAGCTCCTGAAAAGCTTCCTACAAACCTCGACAGGTAATCTGCACACTAGGGTTGTTCAGTTGTATGGCATTCAACTTCTGTTGATGAGTCCCTCACAAAGCCTATTCAGTATGATGTATTAACTAAGGAGACAGTTCATTTGCTACTCTCCTCATTTCATCTCAAGGTCTTTCTCCAGTATGAACTCTGGTGATAGATGAGGTTATAGACCTTTGGCTGAAAGCTTTCTTACATTTGCTGCACTCATGGTCTTTTTCTGTGGCATGACCTGTTTGGTGTTCAGTAAGCTGGGTGTTTTGGCTGAAGAATTCTCCATATTTAGTGCATGCATGTGTTTTTTTCCTCCAGTGTGACTGTCTTCTTAAGGCCTCTCTCCTGTGTGGACTCTCTCATGCTCTGCAAGCCTATACATCCAGGAGTAGGCTTTCCCACACTCATGGCACTTATAGAGACTTTGACCATTGTGAAACACTGCTGTGCAGTCAGCATCCTTTTGTGGAGTGACCTGGTGCTGGAGAAGGCTAGAGCTACCAGGGAAATCCTTCCCAGCCTCCTGGCATGTGAAGGAGTTCTTGGATGCATGGACTATGTGGCTCCTCATAAAGGCCTTACAACCCTGTCTCTTCTAAAGAGATTCCCTCCACAATGCTGGTGAAATTTCACACCTGACACACACAGTTTCTGGCCAGGAATTGTTCCCAGGTCTTCACCTAGAGGCAAACTTACTGTTTAAGGCCAGGCTACACATCTTGCAGGGACAGGACTTTGGATGGACAGGTCTCTGAAGTATTTATTCATGGCACTTCTACAGAAACATTCTGCTCAGAAGTTATCTCCTTGTGCTCTGCTCCATACCAACAAACTGAAAGCAGAGAAATGACACAATGTTGGGGGGAGTGCACACAGAAATGAGGTACACAGTCACTGGCTTTGGCACCAAAACACTGTGGGGCACAGGACATGATCCTGATATAATTTGAACCCCTGATGCCAAATCAATGGAGCCAAGCCCACTTTGAACCCCTCATGCTGGGGCTTGGAGTCATGTCCACTCTGTCATGTCCCAGGGTTCACCTCCCAGCTCCAGCTGGACAACAATATGGAACCTAGAAAATGTAAGTCCTAAGGGAAAGACAGGACAGGTGAACAGTCAGTACTAGCCCAGGAGAACAACCAATCCCCCAAAAAACCTGAGGAAAAAATAACAGTGTCACAAAATGAACCACTGACCCTGCTGGATCCCAACAATTCCTGGTACAGTCAGGGCCCAGGAAATATCAGCTGGAAGGGGGCAGAACCTAGAGCACAGAGGTGTGTGGGTCTACAGAGTCAACTTAGCAGGGAGTGGCTGAGACTAATGGAACCCACTGAACTAATGCCAAGTCTTATGACCCAGAAAAACTTCACTGAAAAAACTTCAGAGCTGCTGGTACTGGGGATACTTCTGAAAGGAGGTCGTACTCATTCAGCCTTGGCACCAACAACACAGATGAGAGGGAAGCAGTAATAGAGACGTGCCCACTGTCTAGGAGTCTGTGAAAAAACAGACTTGCCTTTGGAAAAGGGAAAGGCAGAGACCTGCCTAGGATGCTGGGATAGGTGGGAGGGCGTTACCCAATGATGCAACAAGTGCAAAGGGCTCCAGGATCACATCACAGTACAGGAATCTCTGGGCCTCATCAAGAAGCTTTCATTCCTCCTGGGAAAAGTACACAGCCACGTCCTCAAAGGTCACAGGGCCCTGTGATGATGGGACAGATTTGTACATAAGCAGCCTCTCTCCCCAGAACCCCATAAGTACTTCTAAACCCAGCCCATACTCTGGGTTCATCATCCACCCCAGCTCCGTGACTTAGAGGGCAGTGGGGCCTAATAACTCTTCATGCTTCCTTGATCAGTATGTACAACCCTGAGCAACAACAGGCAGGTGGACAGATAGATACCATGTAATCTGTGAGCCTGGTATGCATGGCCCTTTCCCTTTCCTCCAAGACAACAGCCTGAGTGTACCCACATGTCTCCCAGACACAAGCAAACTTAGCCCCATCTTTCTTATACTTCTAGTACTAGGGCCTGGGGCAATTAATTACTTCACACACTTTCCTCACATGCATATTACTCACTGAACCTCCTCATACATTACATGTCTACCATCATTCTCAGAACAGAAACCTCGTGCTACCATTCTAACTCTGCCTCCCTTGTTCTCTGTCCTTATCAGTTGTTAACAGACCTACAAGTCCTAGAGCACTCCCATCACAATCACATCCTCAAGCATTTGTATATACTAGCCCCATTACTAAGACAACCTTTCATGTCTCAGTCCACTGGCTGCCAAAAATTGGAATCTGTCCATAAAACCTAGGGTCTACAGACACCAAGTCCACGAAGACACCTGACACCAGTGCAGGGGCCATAAATGGTTCTGCTGAGTGAACCATTTAATATTTCAGGCAAAGACAAATACTCAAGAGAAAAATAAAGCATGTAAAAGAGGGCAGAAAATGTTATAGAGTTGTGCCATAAGGTCATGTGGATACCTTGAGAAAAGGCTGTCCAGAAGTGGGACAAAAAAGTGCAAAGCCTCTCTATCAGAGTCATGTCTGGTGTGTATGAGCAGCATCCACGAGGCTAGTGTGACTGGAGCCCAGTGAGCCAGAAGAATAAGGGATTGTGTTGGGGAGGAAATGGTTCTTTTCAAATTTTACTTTGGTTATATTAAAAATTATTACTTTATAAAAATCTCCACCTTACATAATCCATAGATTAAATTTTGATTTGGAATTGTGCTAACATTACATAATAGGATTCAAGAATACTTTTTATACTTATCCACCATATTCTTTGATATATCCATTTTTTCCCCCCATACCTGTTCAGAGAGACTATCTGTAATTTCCTACTAGATTTCTTCTCCAGGGGTAGAGATCATGAAGCACAATTTACTGAATTCACACTGAAAATGACTCTGGAAAAGGGGTTCTTGCCAGAATCAAAGTGCTTGGCCTCCAGCAGTTGGGGATAACTGGGCATCATTGCTGACTCTTTAAACTTAAGAGAACTGCAACAAGCTATAGGACTTGACCTCTAGTCCATCTGCATTGTAGAAACACAGAAATACCTTATTGAGTTCTTAACACCTTGCTAGGGATTCACAAAGCATTATAACTTTTTACACTTACAATGATTCATTTTATCACCCTTAAAACAAGTATTTTAACAAGATAGCTTAATCATTTATGATTTTCCACTAAAATAAGTATTATTCAGGAACTTCCCTGGTGGTCCAGTGGTTAAAAATCTGCCTTCCAATGCAGGGGATGCAGGTTTGATCCCACATACTGTGGTGGGGCAACTGAGCCCATGTGCTTCAACGAAAGATCCTGTGTGCTGCAACTAAGACCTGACACAGCCAAAAATAAATAAAACAATACATAAGCATTATTTGAAGAGTACAATCACATTGTACCTGAAAAAGAATTCAGAGTAATGATAGTAAAGATGATTCAAAATCTCAGAAAAAGAATGGAAACAGATGGAGAAGATACAATAAATGTTTAAAAGAAAGGTAGATTTGATGAACAATACAATAACTGAAATTAAAAATACACTGGAGGGATTCAATAGCAGATAACTAAGGTAGAAGAAAGACTAAGTGAGCTGGATGACAGAGTGGTGGAAATAACAACATTTAATGAACCAACATTTGCATTATAAGGGTCGAAGAAGAGAAAGGGAAAGGGCCTGAGAAAATATTTGAGGAGATTACAGCCGAAAACATCCCTAACATGGGAAAGGAAACACCCGAGTCCAAGAAGTGCAGAGTCCCATACAGGATAAACCCAAGGAGAAACACACCAAAACACATATTAATCAAACTGATACAAATTAAACACAAAGGAAAAATATTAAAAGCAGCAAGGGAAAAGCAACAAATAACATACACCATAAGGCTATATCAGCTGATTTTTCAATAGAAACCTCTGCAGGCCAAAGTGGCACAATATATATTTAAAGTGGTGAAAGGGAAAAAACCTACAACCAGCAATACTCTACTCAGCAAGGCTTTCATTCAGATTAGATGGAGAAATTAAAAGCTTTACAGACAGACAAGCAAAAGCAAAGAGAATTCAGCACCACCAGACCAACTTTGCAAAAAGTGTTAAAAGAACTTCTCTAGGCAGAAAAGAAAAGGCCACAACTAGAAACAAGAAAATCACAAAAGGGAAAGCTCATCAGTAAAGGCAAACAGACAGTAAAAGAAGGAAACCATCCACACACGAAATATATCAAAACAGCAACCATGAGGAGTACAAATGCAGGAAATGGGAATTGCATTTGAAATTAAGACACCAGCACCTCAAAACAATCCTGTACATACATAGACTGCTATATAAAAACCACATAGGTGCAGGGGACACGGGTTCAAGTCCTGGTCGGGGAAGATCACACATGCCATGGAGCAAGTAAGCCTGTGTGCCACAACTACCGAGTGTGCACTCTAGAGCCCCCAAGCCACAATTACTGAGCTCGCGTGTCTAGAGCCAATGCTCTGCAATGAGAAGCCATGTAAATGAGAAGCCTGCACACTGTAATGAAGAGTAGCCCCCAATTGCCGCAACTAGAGAAAGCCCGCACACAGCAACAAACACCCAACTCAGCCAAAAAGAAAAAAAACACACAGGCAGACTGCAAACCAAAAAATTACAATAGGTTCAAAAAAATAAAAAAAAAAAACAACCCCAAACACAACACTAAAGATAATCATCAAACCACAAGAGATGAAATCAAAAGGAAGGGAAGACAGAACACCAGACAAAAACAAATCCAAAGTTGGGGAACTATGATCCCTCAAGCCATGGGAAGAAGAAAAAATAAAAGAAATTGCCTATATGAAATCCAAAGAAAGCTAGAGTAGCAATACTCATATCACACAAAATAGACTTTAAGACTGTTACAAGAGACAAAGAAGTACTGCAGAATGATCAAGGGATCAATCTATAATGCAAAAAAGGCTAACAGCTGTAAGAAGAGAAACTGACAGCAACACAATGATGGGGGGACTTTAACACCCCACTTACACCAATGGACAGATCATCCAGAGAATCAATATGGAAAAACAAGCCTTAAATGACACATTAGACAAGATGGCCTTAATTGATATTTAAGGCATTGCATCCAAAAGCAACTGAATACACATTCTTTTCAAGTATACCTAGAACATTCTCCAGGATAGAACACATCCTGGGCCACAAAGAAAACCTTGGCAAATTTAAGTGAAATCATATCAAGCACCTTGTCCATATGAGATTAGAAATAAATTACACAATGAACTATTTAAAAAAAAACCCACACATGGAGGCTGAACATGTTACTAAAAAACAATGGATCACTGAATACATGAAAGAAAATCAAAAACTACCTAGAGGGTTCCCTGGTGGTGCAGTGGTTGAGAGTCCGCCTGCCGATGCAGGGGACACAGTTTTGTGCCCCGGTATGGGAAGATCCCACATGACGCGGAGCAGCTGGGCCTGTGAGCCATGGCCCCTGAGCCTGTGCGCCCGGAGCCTGTGCTGCGCAACGGGAGAGGCCACAACAGTGAGAGGCCTGCATACCGCGAAAACAAAAAAACTACCTAGAGACAAAGGATGATGAAAACACACTGATCCAAAACTACGGGACGTAGCAAAAACAGTTCTAAGAGCGAAGTTTATAACAATACAATATTTTCTCAGGAAACAAGAAAAATCTTCAATAAACAACCTAATCTTACTTACACCTAAAGCAAATAATAGCAAAGATCAATGAAACTAAAAGCTGTTTTTTTGAAAACATAAACCTTGCCAGAGTCATCAAGAACAACAGGGGAGGGCTCAAATCAATAAAAACGGACACCACAAAAATACAAAGGCTCCTAAGAGACTACTGCAAGCAACTATATACAATAAAATGGACAACCTAGAAGAAATAGGCAAATTCCTAGAAAAATACAACTTACTAAGACTGAGCCAGGAAGAAAAAGAAAATATGAACAAACCACTGACCAGTACTGAAATTAAAACTGATTTAGAAAAAAACTTCCAACAAACAGAAAGGCCAGGACCAGATGGCCTCATAGAAGAACTTATCAAACATTTAAAAAGAAAACACCTATAAAAAACTGCAGGAGACACTCCCAAGCTCATTCTGTGAGGTCATCACCCTGATATCAAAACAAAACATACCACCCACACACAAGAAAATTACAGGCCAATATCACTGATGAACATACATGCAAAAACTCCTCAATAAAATACTAGCAAACTGACTACAACACATTAAAAGGATCATACACCATGATCAAGTAGGATTTACCCAGGGATGCAAGGATTCTTCAATATATGCAAATCAATCAATGTGATACACCGTATTAACAAATTAAAGAATAAAACCCATATGATCATCTCAATAGATGCAGAAAAAGCTTTTGACAAAATTCAAAACTCATTTATGATAAAAACTCTCCAGAAAGTTGGCATGGGGGAACCTACCTCAACATAATAAAGGTCATATACAACAAACCCACAGCTAACATCATTCTCAATGGTGAAACACTGAAAGCATTTCCTCAAAGATCAGGTACAAGACAAGGATGTCCACTCCTGCCAATGCTTTCGGAAGTTCTAGCCACGGCAATCAGAGAACAAAAAGAAAAGAAATGCAAATTGGAAGTAGTAAAACTATCACTGTTTGCAGATGACATGATACTACTCAGAGAAAATCCTAAAGATGCTATCAGAAAACTACTATGCTCATCAGTGAATTTGGTAAAGCTGCAGAATACAAAATGAATGCACAAAAATCTCTTGCATTCCTATACACTAACAATGAAAGATCAGAAAGAGAAATTAAAGAAATAATCCCATTCACCACTGCAACAAAAAGAATAAACTACCTAGGAATAAGCCTACCTAAGGGGCTTCCCTGGTGGCGCAGTGGTTAAGAATCCACTTGCCAATGCAGGGGATGTGGGTTCGAGCCTTCGTCCGAGAAGATCCCACATGCCGCAGAACAGCTGAGCCCCCATACCATAACTACTGAAGCCTGCATGCCTAGAGCCTGTGCTCTGCAACAAGAAAAAAACGCCACTGCAACAAGAAGCCCATGCACCACCACGAGGAAGTAGCCCCTGCTCGGCATGACTAGAGAAAGCCTGCGTGGAGCAACAAAGACCTAATGCAGCCCAAGATAAATACATAAATAAATTTATTAAAATAATAAAAATAAACGTACCTAAGGAGGCCAAAGACCTGTACTCAGAAAACTGTAAGATGCTGATGATAGCAATCAAACATGACATAAACAGAGAGATCATGTTCTTGGATTGGAAGAATCTATATTGTGAAAATGACTATACTACCCAAAGCAGTCTACAGATTCAGTGCAGTCCCTAACAAATTACCAATGGCATTTTTCACAGAACTAGAACAAATAATTTTACCATTTGTATGGAAACAGAAAGACCTCGAATAGCCAAAGCAACCTTGAGAAAGAAAAACGGAGCCAGAAGAATCAGGCTCCCTGACTCCAGACTATACTACAAAGTTAGAGTAACCAAAATTTTGGTACTGGCACAAAAACAGAAATACAGATTGATGGAACAGGATAGATAAAAAGTCAAGAGATAAACCCACACACCTATGGTCACCTAATCTATGACAAAGGAGGCAAGAATGTAAAGTGGAGAAAGGACAGTGTCTTCAATAAGTCGTGTTAGGAAAACTAGACAGCTACATGTAAAAGAATGAAATGAGAACACCCACTAACACCATACACAAAAAGTCAAAATTGATTAAAGACCTAAGTGAAGGCCAGACACTATAAAACTCTTAGAGGAAAACATACGCAGAACACTTTCGACATAAAGCGCAGCAAGATCTTTTTTGACCCACCTCCTAGAGTAATGAGAATAAAAACAAAAACAAATGGAACCTAATTAACCTTACGAGGTTGTGCACAGCAAAGGAAACCATAAAAAAGACGAAAAGACAACCCACAAAATGGGAGAAAATATTTGCAAACGAAGCAACTGACAAGGGATTAATTTCCAAAATAATCAAATAGTTCACGCAGATCAGTATCGAAAAAACCACAAACAATCCAATCAATAAATTGGCAGAAGACCTAAATAGACATTTCTCCAAAGACATTCAGATGGGCAAATGCACATGAAAAGATGCTCAACATCACTACTATTAGAGAAATGTAAATAAAAACTACAGTGGGAACCACCTCACACTGGTCAGAATGGCCATCATCAAAAAGTCTACAAATAATAAATGCTGGAGAGGATGTGGAAAAATGGGAACCCTCCTACACTGCTGGTGGGAATGTAAATTGGTACAGCCACTATGGAGAACAGTATAGAGGTTCCTTAAAAAACTAAATATAGAAGTACCATATAATCCAGCAATCCGACTCCTGTGCATATATCCATAGAAAACCACAATCTGAAAAGAAACAAGCAGCACAATGTTTACTGTAGCACTATTTACAACAGCCAAGACATGGAAGCAACTTAAGTGTCCACCAATGGAGGAGTGGATAAAGATGTGGTACGTATACACGCTGGATAAAAAAGCCATAAAAAAGAATAATGCCATCGGTAGCAACATGGATGGACCTAGAGACTGTCATACTGAGTGAAGTAAGTCAAACAGAAAAAGGTACGATGATATTGCTAAAAAACAAAAAATAATAGAAATAAACTTATTTACAAAGCAGAAACAGAGCCACAGGTGTAGAAACAAACTTCTTGTTACCGGGGGAAAGTGGGGAGGGGGGGATAATTTGGGAGACTGGGATTGATATATACACACTACTATATATAAAACAGATAACTAATTAGGACTTACTTTATAACACAGGGAACTCTACTCAGTACTCTGTAATGACCTATATGGGAGAAGACTCTAGAAAAGAATGAATATATGTATATTTATAAGCGATTTACTTTGCTGTACACTTGAAACTAACACAACATTGTAAATCAACTATACTCCAATAAAAATTATTTAAAAAACCCCAAAACCCTCTAAGTGTGTGTTCGCTGTAAAACTGAGTTTATGTAATGTATAATAAGTCTGTATCAAAATCTAACAATGGGGTAGTTGAAAAATATGTATAATTTCATTCAAAGAACTAAGTTAAAATTAGTAAGAACAAAATTAAAAAGTGGAAATGTTCATTTAAATAAAAATTTTAACATATATGCTAGATAAATGCATATGTGCACAAGAACAGATGGCAGGTATGGCTATAAATACAGAAAGTAGACCAAAAACAAAAAAAAAAAGAAGAAAAAAGAAACACGTAAACAAAGAAGAGCCTTCAACAGGGGAACTTATAAAGACATTTTACTCATATATTCATATCTACAGAATACAGCACAAGAAAGGAAAATGAATGTGTTAGGGAACTGAAACCGCCCACCTTGGCCAGGCACAATGATAACCACTTGCCTGAATTGTCTCACAACAGGAAGTTCCGATAAAGAAAGGGGTGCTGCCTCTGAAAGCTAACTGGGAGAATTTGGGAGGGTCCGAAAGGAGGAGGGAAGAGATGATATGTCCTGCCTACCTCCCAGAATCCCCCTCACGCTGGAATCCACCTTGGCTGAGAGGTGAGTGCACCACCAGGAAGGACCCTGAGTCAGAACAACTGGCCATAGACAACCCGGAAACTAACCCTATTACCATAAAAGCTGAGATTGCGAGCATCATGGCAGAGCAATTCTCCTGGGTTCCCTACTGTGTTGCTCTTCGCCTAGGCACCCCTTTCCAATAAAGTCTCTTGCCTTGTCAGCATGTGTGTCTCCTTGGACAATTAATTTACTAGTGTTACACAAGCGCCCACTCTCAGACCCTGCAAGGGGTCCCCCTGAAACCATGCAACTCAGATTGGGACTTTACTTGATATCACACACCTGGTCTCAGGACTTAATGAATCTCAGGTTCTTGAAGTCTCCTCACAGAAAGAGTTCAGTGAGACAACGTGATAGGCAAGAATTGGATTTATTTAGCGAGGAACACACTCCACAGAGTGTGGGCCATCTCGGAAGGCGAGAGGCCTCAAAATATGACGTGGTTACTTTTTATGTTCTACGTAATTTCACAGGCTGAGTGGGAGGATTATTCCAACTACTTCCCGGGAAGGGGCAGGTATTTCCAGGAATTGGGCCACTACTCACTTTTTGGCCTTTTAGAGTTAGCCTTAGAACTGGCAGGTCGCTGGTGGGTGTGTTATTTACATGCTCATGTATTACAATGGGAATATAATGAGCCTCAAGATCCACCGGAAATCAAATCTTCCGCCATCTTGGACCTAATTGGTTCAAACCTGTTTGTTTTAGTCAAGTCCTATGGATATATCATTCCTTTAAAGGCTGTGCCCTGCCCCTTCCCTCCTGTTTCACCTCTTTCTTCCACAAAGTGATAGCCATGAAAAACATGGGTAAAGTCACACCACATTGCGCAAAAGAAGAAAAACACATCATAAAACATATTACATTCATAAAAACTTTTAAAACAAGCGAAACTAAACAAGACACGTCAAATAGTTTCCACAAAGTTGGCAAAACTATCAAGAAAAGAAAGGAAACGCTTACTTCAAACAGCAGCCAATACATTAACTTGCTGGGGATGGGGATAATTGTTTGGAAGAACCCCACAGGCTGCTTCTGAGGTCCTATTTATACAGCAATTTTGGCCTGAGCGGTGAACGGATATTAATCTCAGAGCTTCTTCAACCGCACATTGAAGTCCTCTGCAATTTTTTTTTCCCAGGCAGGTCATATTTCAAACTTCGGAAAGCCAAGTTTTGGGGGTACAAATAATAACTATAGGACACTAGTAAAAGAACACAGATAAAACACTGCTGAATGAGAAGAGTTGGGGGAGGGCCCGGATGACGCAGCATTTACCTGAATCAGACACATCTGCGCCGGCGCCAGCGGAGTTTGTGGGTGAAGGTGGGGCCCGGGCACTGCGGCACCAACCGCCCAAGACAGAGTCAGGCCGGATAGCGCCCACGCCGAGCCTCAGACGAAGCTCAGAGAAGCGAGCACGGCGCCTTCCTGGCTCCCTGACCTCTGGCCTTCACAGCGTTGCGAAGTTCCCCGCCTGTGAACACAGCCGAGTTTACAAAATAACGACCTCAGTCGACGCCGGAAAAGCCGCCCAGATTCCGTCCTCTAGAACGGAAGTGACTCTTTCCTGAGCCTTCATTGGCCCAGGGGCGCCCACGAACTGGCGTAGTTTTTTTCTGGGTAATGCAGTTCACAGGCCTCTAGAACCTGTCAAGGGGTGGTGCTCCCCGCCTACAGGAAAAGCCCCGCCTCACTGCCCGGGTTCCTGGGAGTGTCCTGGAGGCTCTGAGGACGGGGGCGGAGTTTCACGCTTCTTAAAGGAGACGAACCCAGATTTCCATGGAATGTAGTCTTCGCTGGTCCCAGAGAGACAGCCATAATATTTCAGATGTTTCCGAAATCTACAAAACCAAACGGGCACATGATACCAGGTTGTCACTATGACACAAAGTTCATGCATCCATAGCTGGGGTCTATTTAACATTGTCTTATTGCTCTTCCAAAGGATGTAGGCTAAAGCTTTAGCCCTCACTGTGATAGGTCAGAATCAAGAGAACATAGACTCCAGACAGGGGGCCATAGTGAACAAGACAGAGGAGGAATGTCGGGTGGCCATAAGCAGGTGGACCATGTGTTGCTTCTCTGGTTCCCTCATTAAAGAGTAGGGCCAGTGATGTCCCATTCGGGAACACCATTTTTGAACATGCATCTGTGAAGAAGCATGTAATGAAATACACCTGCACACAGCAATTACCTCACCTTTTCTCTAACTCTGATGGCCTTTCCCCACACCTAAGACCACACTGCCTCTTTATACCTTAAATATCTCAAGCACATCGCCTCCGGGAAGGTGGATCTGAGACTTCTTCTAGCTCCTGGCTTGGCTGCCTTCTCCCCTGCAAACATTGGCATCTCAGTGTTTGGCTTCTTGCGCCTCTAGTGCAGTAAAAACTTCATATTCACTGCTTGGAATTGCTCACAGTTGGAGTATTCATACCAGGGAAATTGGCAAACACAACAATCAAGGTTCGGTTAGTTGTTTTATACGTGTCTAGACTTAAAGTAACGGAAACTATGTTAATAATGAGGACCATACGTGATGAATAACGATGTGAGCACATTTATTCCACCCAGCGAAGTCATTGAAGAAAAGTCAAGCTCCAACAGATTTTTGCCTTTTCAGTTACTAATAAAAGACAGACATTTTTTCAAAGCAGACATACACCTGGCAAATAAACACAAAAATGTTCAACATCATGAATCATTAGGGAAATGCAATCAGACCATAGTGAGACACCTCTACACATTTAAACAGGTAATACTGAAACACTAGCCATATCAACCAAGTACTAGAGAGGAATACAGGAAAACTGGAATGCTCCCATACTGTGAATGGCACACAAAAGGGTATAGTCATTGAATTTTGAATATGAAACCATACGTACATATAATTTATTAAGCTTATCTGTCATAGACAAAAAGGATACAAACGACAAAAACCCATCCTTTAACAGATGTATGGATAAACAGTCAGTGGGTGGTGTATCCAAACAGTATATTTTTCAGGAAAAAAATGAATTATACTTATCAGCAACTTAAATGATTCTCAAAATAATTATGCATCATGAAAAAGAGACAAATATAAAAGTAAACATTAAGACCCCAATGATATTAAGTGTAGAAAACACTAATTGAATGGGAAAAAATAAATCAATACTAGTTGCCTGGGAGTCCTGGGAGAGATGTCAGAAGGTGGATATGGGAGTGATGGATGTTTGTAATTATGATGGTTCTGTGGGTTTACACATATTAAAATTTAACCAAGCTGTACATTTTAGTTATGTTCAGTTCAGCGCATACCAACTATACAGCTCAATTAAATTTAATAAAAATTGGATTCACATAAAAAATCTGAATCTTTTCTGAATCTCCTTTTCAGTAGAACTCTGACAACCACATGTTAACCCCATCACATCTCCTTGTCTAATGGGAGGGATTCTGTTGTGGTAGCAATGAAGACTGGTGAGCAATGAAAGGTGTTTCCACGTGAGTTATCCAGGAACTGCCTGCATCCTAAAAACCACATGCCTGGACTACACGATTTCCACTTTTATTACCCATTATCTTTGCTATGCACCAATGGCCTTGAGATAAACAATCTGCAGATGTTACAGGATCCCAAAACCTTTACATTATTTAGCCTGACACTGACTGGGACCTCAGGAGAGAAACCGCTCCGTAGCTCCTGAGAATTTTTGCAAAAACATTATCCTAAAGAGCCACAGTCAAGGGAACATTCATGGATGCAATTTTAGAATAGGTTCATCTCTTTTTGTTTGCTAGTCACTCACTCCCTATTCCCTGTTTCTGTACCAAATATGGTTCCCACCTGATGTCTGTAATCTAACGCTCAGCAAAACCAGCCTACCATGTTATGGACATTATGGCACATGGCTCTTTTCCAGCTGGACCTAGAGAACTTCTCTTGAACAGTACTGGAGTCATGATGTGACATCCCATGTGAAAAAAGAGAACTTATGCAGCTCCAAAAAACACTGGTGGTTCATACAAATGTCCTCATCTCAGGGTGACCTCGGCACCCACCAAAAATTCTAACATCCAGGTCATATTAGTCCCAGAGCCCTGTAGTCTACCCCAGGAGGCTTTGGACAACAATTCAAATTAGATCAAAACTGGAGTGAAAACCATTCTCCGCCATGATACTATCCTTATTGAAGAATACAAAGATTGGAACACCCACAAAAGACGTGGCTTAAACTATAGTCTTTATTTTTTCACAGAGTAGAGCAAATGGAGGCAGATAGTTCCCAAACAGGGTGATCTGGAGCTAGAAACATCCATAGTGAGCATGACATGAGAAAATACCACCAAGGAAAGTAAACTGTAAGCTGCCAAGGGAACCCACATTGGGTCACAGTGGTCAAAGCTGCTTAGGTCCTGTCCTTGACAGAAGAGCATGACAATACCCAAGTGCTCAGGCTATTCATGCTTCCCTCCAGGGGACAGGATAGCCAAAGGTCTACCTACCCTGATCACAATGCGATGACTGATGCCCAGTACTGGGATCTGCCACTTGGGAGAGGTAAAAAACTTACAGTGACATTGAGTCCAGAAAGGGGCTTGCACAGGTTAGAAAGTAGAGTATAGCTCCTGAAAAGCTTCCTATGAAACCAGTACTCATAGGCAATCTGCACACAAGGGCTGTTCAGATGTATGGCATTCAACTTCCAGTTGATGACTTCCTCAGAGAGTCTATTCAGTATGATGTATTAACTAAGGAGACAGCTCATTCACTGCTTTCATCTCATTTGAAGGCCCTTCTCTAGATGAACTTTCTGGTATCAAATAAGGTAAGACCTTTGGCTGAAAGCTTTCCTACATTTGCTGTACTCATAGGGTCTATCTGAGCTGTGAAGTTTCTAGTGCTCAGTTAGAGCAGACCTTTGACAGAAAACTTTTCCACATCTGCTGCACTGATGAGGCCTTTATGGGGTGTGAGCTTTTCGGTGTTGAGTAAGCTGGATGCTTTGGCTAAAGAATTCTCCTCATTCAGAATTCTCCTCATATGGTTTTTCTCCAATGTGAACTCTGGTGCTTAATAAGAGTAGAGCTTTGGCTAAAACACTTTCCACATTCACTGCACTTATAAGGCCTTTCGCCAGTGTGAACTCTCTGGTGCGTAGTGAGAATAGAGTTTTGGCTAAAACATTTCCCACATTCACTGCACTTGTAAGTCTTTGCTCCAGTGTGAATTCTCTGGTGGACCTGAAGGTGGGCCCTTTGCCTAAAGGACTTCCCACATTCACTACACTCATAAGGCCTTTCCCCAGTGTGAATTCTTCTATGTTTAATGAGGCTGGCGATGTACCTAAAGACTTTCCCACATTCACTGCACTCATAAGGCCTCTCTCCAGTGTGGACTCTCTGATGCTGAACAAGCATGCGTTTATAGGTGAAGGCTTTTCTGCATTCTCCACATTCATAAGGTCTCTCTCCAGTGTGGACTCTCTGGTGCTGAATAAGTTTGCTTTTAGTAATGAAGGTTTTCCCACATTCACTGCACTCGTAAGGCTTGGCTCCAGTGTGAATTCTCTGGTGCACAATAAGTTGGGCGTTTTGTCTAAAGAACTTCCCACATTCTCTACACTCATAAGGCCTTTCCCCAGTGTGAATTCTTCTATGTATAACAAGGTTGGAGTTGCATCTAAAGACTTTCCCACATTCACTGCATTCATAAGGTCTTTCTCCAGTGTGGACTCTCTGGTGCTGAGCAAGCCTGTATTTACGGCAGAAGGCTTTCCCACATTCACTGCACTTGTAACGCTTTTCTCCATTGTGAAAGGCCTCTACAAACTCGGTGTCCTTTTGTGGAGTGATCTGGTGCTGGAGAAGGCCAGAGCTACAAGGGAAATCCTTCCCAGACTCCTGGAATGTGAAAGACTTCTTGAATGCATGGACGGTGTGGCTCTTCATAAAGGTCTTACCCACGTCTCTTCTAAAGAGTTCCTCTCCAGTGTGCTGGTGAAACTGCACACCTGCCCCACAGAGTTTCTGGCCAGGGTTTGTGCCAAGGTCCTCAGCTAGATGCAAACCACCTTCTAAGTACAGGCAGCACGTCTCCCAGGGATAGGACTTCAGGGTGGACAGGTCTGCCTCTGAAGTATTTATTTGTGGCACTTCTACAGAAACATTCTGCTCAGAAGGTGTCTGCTTGTTCTCTGCTACATACCAACACCCTGAAAGCAGAGAAATACGGGTAAACTTGACATAGGATTTTGGTATAAGGAGGCAGCCCCATCACAAATGTTTGTCTGACATAGAAAGGAATAAATCTATGGGACTGTTTTCAAGACAAGAAGTTGCAGGGAGGCTAGGCAAGCCTTGCTGTACAGTACTGACCCTCTACACATCACAGGACAGGGAGCACTCACCAGGCAAATGACAGAAGGACGGGGTGGAATGCATAAAGGAGCTAGGGGTCCACAACTCATTCCTCCAGGAACAGTTTTCACTAGGACCTTGGCTGCTGGTGGCATGTGTGTGCTATGTGGAAAGCTGTGTCCAGGTCCAGGAAAATCTGATTTTCATTGAGTAGCTGGCGTTCAAGGACTATTTTGGGGAGAGGTGCAGACCTCATGAAACATTAAGTGTAGGTTAATAGTGGAAAGCACAGCAGAGGGAGGATGGAGAGGAACAATTAGGAGTGGAAGACAAAGAGGTAAGGGATAATTCTGGGTTGGAAGTCAGAGGAAAAATCACAGGAGGCAAGTGTCAAGGATGGAGGAGAAACAGAAATGAGGTACACAGTCACTGGCCTTGACACCAAAACAGTGTTGGGTACGGGACATGTTCCTGATATGATGTGAATCGAACCATGATGTCACTTCCTCCCCCAATGCTAATTACCAGGGTCAGGCCATATTTGAGCCCCTCTTGCTCTGTCTGGAGTCATGTCCACTCTGTCATGTACCCAGGGTTCTCCTCTCAGCTCCAGCTGGACAACATGGTACCTAGAAGATGAAAGTCCTAAGAGAAAGACACGACAGGTGAACAGTCAGTACTGGCCCGGGGGGCAACCAATCCCAAAACAACCTCAGGAAAAAAAATATGTAACAAAAAGAATCTTTGAGATGAGAAACAGCCAAGAAGACCCCACAAATACCACATTAAGTCTCAACAATTCCTGGAATGTTAAGGCCCCAAGAAATGTCAGCTAGAAGATGGCAGAGCCTGGAGCACAGAGGTGCATGGGTCTACGGAGTCAACTTAGCAGGGAGTGGCTGAGACTAATGGAACCCACTGAACTAATTCCAAGTCTTATGACCCAGAAAAACTTCACTGAAAAAACTTCAGAGCCGCTGGTATTGGGGATACTCCTGAAAGGAGATGGTATACACATTCACTCAGCCTTGGCACCAAAAACACAGATGAGAGGGAATCAGTAATATAGATGTGCCCACTGTCTAGCTGTGAAAAAACAGACTTGCTTTTGGAAAAACGGGGAAAAGCGGAGACCTGCCTGGGATGCTGGGACAGGTGTGAGGGCCTTACCCAATGACGCAGCAAGTGCAAAGGTCTCCAGCATGACATCGTGGTACAGGAATCTCTGGGCCTCATCAAGAAGCCTCCATTCTTCCTGGGAAAAGTATACAGCCACGTCCTCAAAGGTCACAGAGCCCTGTGATGACAGGGACGATGTCTCCATAAGCAGCCTCTCTCCCCAGGACCCCATAAGTGCCCCTAACCCATACTCACTCGGTTCATCTTCCTCCCCAGCTCCCTAACTTAGGGGCACTGGTACCTAATAACTCTTCATACTTCCTTGAGCACTAGGTACAACTCTCAGCAACAACAGGTAGGTAGGTGGGCAGATAGATGCCATCTAAGCTGTGGGCCTGTTATGCATGGCTCCCTCCCTGTCCTGCAAGACAACAGCCTGAGAGTCCCCAGGATCATGTCTCCCAGACACAAACTTAGGCTCATCATTCTCTCTTAAACTGGTATGAGGGCTCTGGGGTAATTTTGTCACACACCTTCCCCACATGCATACTCACTGGCTAACTCCTCATACATCTGATCCCCATCACCACCACCCAGCCAACAAAACTGGCATGTCTCCTGCCTCCTCACATACCCTCCGGCACATGGCATCAGAAAGTTCCTGCCAATGCAACAGGATCCCACTGTACCCCAACTCTCCACCGGTCTGTTCTGAAGGCTTCCCCACCAGGCCTTGTTCCTGACTTTAACCTCAGTCAAAACATGCAAATCTAAATACGCCTGTTCATGTTCCACCTCTGTATTGCACATTATGTCTCTTCACCAGTTGCAATCTCTGTCCATATAACACCCATTCAAAATCCACACCCACTTGACACACCTTAGGTAAACTCATCTGACATTCTGTCAGAAACTACCCAAGTTCCACCACAAAAGCCTAGTGAGTGCACAGGAAGAAAAATAACCACCAGCCTGACTTTACTTTCACTTCACCTACATTCTGCTTTCCCTCTGCATCAATTAATCAATTTCATAGGCACTCCCCCATAAAAACCTGAGCCACCTGATGGACTTTCCCTCCCGCCCCCCACTTTCCCACTGATGACCGCTCTTCTTATCTGTCTTTGTGACAGCCCCCTTATCTTCCCTTGTCCCCTAATGGCATCCTGAAGCCTCCCCCAGCACTCTAGATCTGCACGTTCAGCCGTCCCCTTGTCTCCTATACTTGGAGTCACTGGAACATCTGAGAATCAAAACAGCCAAAACCCAATTCCTAATATTCTCACGGAAAAGGACTGCTACCACTGACTTGCCCATCTCAGTTGATGGCACTGCCACCCTTCCAGATGCAAAGGGAAAAGAAACTTGGAGTTACCTGTGAGCCCTCCACATTAGAAAATCTGATCAGCTCCTACTTTAAAAGCAAATCCAGAAGCCAAGTATTTCTCCTACCTCCTCATGCACCACTTTGGTCCAGCAAGAAATAATGTGCGTCTGGATGACTGCAATAGCCTCCTTCATTATCTCCTTTTCTTTCTCTCCCCCAGTCTCTTGTGCACTCTGCAGCCAGGAGTAGCCTCTTAAAACCTAAGTCACATCACTTTCCCTCTCTGTTCCAAAAATTCCATGTCTTCCATCATTCTCAGAACAGAAACCTCTTCTCAGTCTACCATTCTAGGTCTAACTCTGGCCCCCTTGCTCTCTGTTCTTACCAGCTGTTAACAAAGACCTACAAGTCCTAAAACACTCCCATCTCAATCTCATCCTCAAACATTTATATATATTACCCGCTATACCTAAGACAACCTTTCACATCTCAGTCCACTGGCTGCCAAAAATGGGAATCTGTCCATATAACCTCTGGCCTGGACTTGGAAACCTGGGCTTAGGGTCCCCAGACACCAAGTCCAGGAAGAGTGGCAGCAAAAGACTTCTAGGACACCTGACACTCACCAGTGCAGGGTCCATAAGTGGTTCTGCTGAATGTGGAACCTGTGGGAAGAGTAGAGCCATGTAATATTAATTCCCATCAGCAACATAGACAAAAAAGGTTAATGAGTGAACCATTTAATATTTCAGATGAAGACAAATGCTCAAGAGGAAACTAAAGCATAAAAGAGGGCAGAAAATGTTACAGTTGTACCATAAGGTCATGTGGATATCTTGAGAAAAGGCCTTCCAAAAGTGAGACAAACAAGTACAAAGCCTCTCTATCAGAGTCATGCCTGGTGTCTTTGAGCAGCATTTACAAAGCTAGTATGACTGAAGCCCAGTGAGCCCAGAAGAATAAGGGATCGTGTTGGCAAGGAAATGGTGTTGACATGTCATAAAGCACTATTATAGTCGTAAGTCACAAATATCAAAATTAAGTCTCATTTTACATACAGGTCTGTTTCTGACACTTCCATTTGATTCCCTCTTCTATTTCTCCCTTGCTAATAATACATTTTTATCTTCTTGTAGCTTGCAGTTGGCCCTCACATCTGATCAGAAGTTCGTATATTATAATTCCTTTTCCAATTTTACTTGGTTATCTTTTTGTTTTGTTGTTGTTGTTTTTTTGCAGTATGCGGGCCTCTCACTGTTGTGGCCTCTCCCGTTGTGGAGCACAGGCTCCAGACACGCAGGCTCAGCGGCCATGGCTCACGTGCCCAGCCACTGTGTGGCATGTGGGGTCTTCCCGGACCAGGACACGAAACCGTGTCCCCTGCATTGGCAGGCGGACTCTCAACAACTGCACCACCAGGGAGGCCCCTTGGTTATCTTATAAATTATTGCTTTATATAAAATTGCAGCTTACATAATCCATATACTAAGTTCTGATTAGAAATTATTATAACATTATGGAGACTGGTTCAAGATGGCAGAGTAGAAGGATGTGTGTTCTCTGCCTTTTGTGAGCGCACTGGAATTACAACTTACTACTGAACGATCATTGACAGGAAGACACTGGAACTCAGGAAAAAAGGTACCCCACATCCAAAGACAAAGCAGAAACTGCAATGAGAGAGTAGGAGAGGTGCAATCACAATAAAATCAAATTCCATAACTGCCGGATGGGTGACTCACAAACTGGAGAACACTTATAACACAGAAGTCCACCCACTGGAGTGAAGGTTCTGAGCCCCAAGTCAGGGTTCCAACCTTGGGGTCTGGCAACAGGAGGAGGAATTCCCAGAGAAACAGACTTTGAAAGCTAGCAGGATTTGACTACAGGACTTCGACAGGACTGGGGGAAACATATACTCCAAGCTTGGAGGGCATACACAAAGTAGTGTGCACATCAGGACCCAAGGGGAAGGAGTAGTGACTCCATAGGAGACTGAACCAGACCTACCAGCTAGTGTTGGAAGGTATCCTGCAGATGCAGGATATGGCTGTGGCTCACCACAGGGACAAGAACAGCAGCAGCAGAAGCTCTGGGAAGTATTCCTTGGCATGAGCCCTCCCAGAGTCCACCATTAGCCCCATCAAAGAGGCTGTAGCCTCCAGTGCTGTGTCACCTCAGGCCAAACAACCAACAGGGAGGGAATTCAGCCCCACCCATCAGCAGACAAAACAATTAAAGTTTTACTGAGCTCTGCCCACCAGAGCAACACCCAGCTCTACCCACCACCAGTCCCTCCCATCAGGAAGCTTGCAAAAGCCTCTTAGATAGCCTCATCCACCAGAGGGCAGACAGCAGAAGCAAGAAAAACTACAATGCTGCAGCCTGTGGAATGAAAACCATGTTCACAGAAAAACAAACAAAATGAAAAGGCAGATGACTATGTACCAGATGAAGAAACAAGATAAAATCCCAGAAAAACTACTAAATGAAGTGGAGATAGGCAAACCTCGGAAAAAGAATGGAGGCAAAGATCAAGAAGATGCAAAAAATGTTTTAAAAGACCTAGAAGAATTAAAGAACAAACAAACAGAGATGAACAATACAATAACCAAAATGAAAAATATACTAGAAGGAATCAATACCAGAATAACTGAGGCAGAGCTCACCTGGAAGACAGAACGGTGGAATTCACTGCTGCGGAACAAAGAAAAAAGAACGAAAAGAAGACAGCCTAAGAGACCTCTGGGACAAAGTTAAATGCAACAGCATTTGTATTATACAGGTCCCAGAAGCAGAAGAGAGAGACAACGGACCTGAGAAACTATTTAAAGAGATTATAGTCAAAAACTTCCCTAACATGGGAAAGGAAATAGCCACCCAAGTCCGGGAATCACAGAGAGTCCCAGGCAGGACAAACCCAAGGAGTAACATGCTGAGACACATAGTAATCAAACTAACAAAAATGAAAGACAAAGAAAAATTATTGAAAGCAACAAGGGAAAAATGACAAATAACATACAAGGGAACTCCCATAAGGTTAACAGCTGATTACTCAGCAGAAACTCTACAAGCCAGAAGGGAGTGGCATGATATATTTAAAGTGATGAAAAGAACTTACATGAAGATTAATCTCATTCAGGATCTCATTCAGATTTGACGGAGAAATCAAAAACTTTACAGACCAGCAAAAGCTAAGAGAATTCAGCACCACCAAACCAGCTCTATAACAAATGCTAAAGGAACTTCTCTAAGTGGGAAACACAAGAGAAGAAAATGACCTACAAAAACAAACCCCAAACAATTAAGAAAATCGTGGCAGGAACATCCATATCGGTAATTACCTTAAACGTGAATGGATTAAATGCTCCAACCAAAAGACACAGGCTCGCTGAATGGATACAAAAACAAGACCCATATACATACTGTCTACAAGAGACCCACTTAAGGGGTAAGACTTAGGGACACATAAGACTGCAAGTGAGGGGATGGAAAAAGATATTCCATGCAAATGGAAATCAAAAGACAGCTGAAGTAGCAATACTCATCAGATAAAATAGACTTTAAGATAAAAAATGTTACAAGAGACTAGGAAGGACACTACATAATGACAAAGGGATCAATCCAAGAAGCGATAACAATTATAAATATATATGCACCCAACATAGGAGCACCTCAATACATAAGGCAAATGCTAACAGCTATAAAAGAGGAAATTGACAGTAACACAATAATGATGGGGGACTTTAAGACCTCACTTACATCAATGGACAGATTATCCAGACAGAAAATTAATAAAGAAACACAAGCTTTAAATGACGCAGTAGGCCAGATAGATTTAATTGATATTTATAGAACATTCCATCCAAAAACAGCAGATTACACTTTCTTCTCAAGTGCACACAGAACATTCTCCAGGATAGATCACATCTTGGGTCACAAATCAAGCCTCAGTAAATTTAAGAAAATTGAAATCATATTAAGGATCTTTTCCAACCGCAATGCTATGAGATTAGAAATCAATTACAGGGGAAAAAGGTAAAAAACACACACAGAGGCTAAACAGTATGTTACTAAATAACCAAGAGATCACTGAAGAAATAAAAAAATATCTAGAGACAAATGACAATGAAAACACGACGATCCAAAACCTATGGGATACAGCAAAAGCAGTTCTAAGAGGGAAGTTTATAGCAATACAAGCCTACCTCAAGAAACAAGAAAAATCTCAAATAAACAATCTAAACTTAGACCTAAAGGAACTAAAGAAAGAAGAAAAAACAAAACTCAAAGTTAGTAGAAGGAAAGAAATCATAAAGTTAAGAGCAGAAATAAATGAAATAGAAACAAAGAAAACAATAGCAAAGATCAATAAAACTAAAAGCTGGTTCTTAGAGAAGATAAACAAAACTGATAAACCTTTAGCCAGACTCATCAAGAAAAAGAGGGAGAGGACTCAAATCAATAAAATTAGAAATGAAAAATGAGAAGTTACAACAGACACCACAGAAATACAAAGCATCGTAAGAGACTACTAAGGGACTTCTCTGGTGGTACAGTGGTTAAGAATCCACCTGCCAATGCAGGGGACACAGGTTTGGGCCCTGCTCTGGGATAATCCCACATGCTGCGGAGCAACTAAGCCCGTGCACCACAACTACTGAGCCCAGGTGCCACAACTAATGAAGCCTGCATGCCTAGAGCTTGTGCTCCACAACAAGAGAAGCTGCCACAATGAGGAGTCCACACACCGCAACAAAGACCCAATGCAGCCAAAAATAAATAAAATAAATAAATAAAATTTTAAATTGACGAATAAAAGCCATATGATCATCTCAATAGATGCAGAAAAAGCTTCTGACAAAATTCAACACTCATTTACATGATAAAAACTCTCCAGAAAGTGGGCATCGAGGGAATCTACCTCAACATAATAAAGGTCATATACAATAAACCCACAGCAAACATCATTCTCAATGGTGGAAAACTGAAAGCATTTCCTGTAAGATCAGGAACAAGACAAGGATGTCCATTCTTGCCACTATTATTCAACATAGTTCTCGAAGTAGTAGCCATGGCAATCAGAGAAGAAAAAATAAAAGGAATACAAATTGGAGAAGAAGAAGTAAAAGTGTCACTGTTTGCAGATGACATGATACTATACATAGAGAATCCTAAAGATGCCACCAGAAAACTACTAGAGCTCATCAATGAATTTGGTAAAGTTGCAGGTTACAAAATTAATGCATAGAAGTCTCTTGCGTTCCTATACACTAACAATGAAAGATCAGAAAGAGAAATTAAGGAAACAATCCCATTCACCATTGCAAAAAAAAAGAATAAAATACCTAGGAATAAATGTACCAAGGAGGTAAAAGACCTGTACTCAGAAACTGTAAGACACTGATGAAAGAAATCAAAGATGACACAGATGGAGAGATATACCATGTTCTTGGATTGGAAGAATCAATATTGTGAAAATGACTATACTACCCAAAGCAATCTACAGATTCAATGCAATCTCTATCAAATTACCAGTGGCATTTTTTACAGAACTAGAACAAAAAATCTTAAAATCTGTATGGAGACACAAAAGACCCCGAATAGCCAAAGCAGTGTTGAGGGAATAAAATGGAGCTGGAGGAATCAGACTCCCTGTCTTTAGACTATACTACAAAGCTACAGTAATCAAAACAATATGGTACTGACACAAGAACAGAAATATAGATCAATGGAACAGGATAGAAAGCCCAGAGAAAAACTCAAGCACCTATGGTCAATTAATCTATGACAAAAGAGGCAAGGATATACAATGGAGAAAAGACAGTCTCTTCAATAAGTGGTGCTGGGAAAACTGGACAGCTACATGTAGAGAATGAAATTAGAACACTCCCTAACACCATACACAAAAATAAACTCAAAATGGATTAGAGACCTAAATGTAAGACTGGACACTATAAAACTCTTAGAGGAAAATATAGGAAGAACACTCTTTGACATAAATCACAGCAAGATCTTTTTGGATCCACCTCCTAGAGTAATGGAAATAAAAACAAAAATAAACAAATGGGACCTAATAAAGGTTAAAAACTTTTGCAAAGCAAAGGAAACCACAAACAAGACGAAAAGACAGCCCTCAGAATGGGAGAAAATACTTGCAAATGAATCAATGGACAAAGGATTAATCTCCAAAATATGTAAACAGATCATGCAGCTCAATATTAAAAAAACACACAACCCAATCCAAAAATGGGCAGATGACCTAATTAGACATTTCTCCAAAGACATACAGATGGCCAAGAAGCACATGAAAAGTTGCTCAACATCACTAATTATTAGAGAAATGCAAATCAAAACTTCAATGAGGTGTCATCTCACACCAGTTAGAATGGGCATCATAAGAAAATCTGCAAACAACAAATGCTAGAGAGGGTGTGGAGAAAAGGGAACTGTCTTTCACTGTTGGTGGGAATGTAAATTGATACAGCCATATAATGAAGAGTATGGAGGTTCCTTAAAAAGCTAAAAATAGAATTACCATATGACCCAGCAATCCACTACTGGGCATATACCCAGAGAAAATTGTAATTCAAAAAGACTCATGCAGGGACTTCCCTGGTGGCACAGTGGTTAAGAATCTGCCTGCCAATGCAGGGGACAAGTGTTCAAGCCCGGGTCCGGGAAGATTCCACATGCTGCAGAGCAACCAAGCCTGTGCATCACAACTACTAAGCCTGCACTGTAGAGCCCACA